AATTTGGTTCAGAGATATTTTTAATCGTTTGTTTCGAGTTCTTCCAGATCCAGATATTTGGGGGGGGGGGGGAATTTGTATAACATTTCACAATTTAATTTCGAAATTGCAAAACCTAGTGCTCTGAAATCATGAACGAGTCATTAGGGTTATAGGAAGAATTTTTCGATTTTCGAATTTCTGATTTTCGGCTTTTCTGAATTTCAATTTTCAAATTTTTACTTTCCGTTTTCGCAATTTCTCGATTTTTCAAATTTTCGACTTTCCGATTTTGGAATTTTCGTCTTTTTAATTTTCGGTTTGTAAATATCCGAATTTTTTGTTTCCTTTTCGATTTCTCGCTTTTTCCAATATTTGATTAATCGAATTTTTAATTTTTCGACTTTGAATTTTTCGATATTTTGAATTATTATAGATTTTTCAAATTTTCAATGTTCGAAATTTCGATATTCCAGTTTTCAATTTTTTAATTTCAATTTCTCTGTTTTCCAAATTTGTCCATTTTTGGACTTTTCGATCCTAGAATATTAAGTTTTCAATTTTTCGACTGTTAGACTTTAATTTTTTTATTTTTCGATTTTCGATATTCAAATTTTCAGTTCTCCGATTTTTCAATTTTTTTATTTTTTGAATTTTGGTTTCTCGCCGATTTTCAATGCTCGAATTTTCAAGTTTTCTACTTTTCAACTTCCCGATTTTTCGTCGAATTTTCAATTGTTTTAATTTTAATTTCATGATTTTTGCATTTTTCGATTTTCCGCTTTTAGAATTTTCGATTTTTTGATTTTCGAATTTTCGGTTTTTCAATTTTTCCATTCTTCAGTTTTTAGACTTTTTAATGTTTTTACTTTTCGATTTTCGATATTCAAATTTTCAATTTTTCCATTCTTCAGTTTTTCGAATTTTCAATTTCTTTCCTTTAATGATTTTTGGATCTCGACTTTCAATTTTTCGAATTTTCGTCCTTTCAATTTTCGATATTTTCAATCTTCAATTGCTTTAATTTCGACTTCCCGATTTTTGCATTTTTCGATTTTCCGCTTTTTGAATTTTCGGTTTTTCGACTTTCGATATTTCGTTTTTTCCACCTTTCGATTCTTGGATTATTCGAAATCTCGACTTTCGGCTTTTTGAATTTTCGGTTTTTCGACTTTTCAATACATATTCGAATTTTCACTTTGTTCCTTTTCGATTTCTCGATTTTTTCAATTCTTCATTTCTCGATTTTCGATGCTCGAATTTTCAATTTTTCAATTTTTCCATTCTTCAGTTTTTCCGTTTTAATTTTTTTTACTCTGCTTTTTCATTTCATTGATTTTTCAATTCGACTTTTCGTTTTATCAGTTTTCGATTTTTCCAATATTTGATTAATTGAATTTTTGATTTTTCGACTTCGGAGTTTTCGATATTTATAATTTTCGGTTTTTTAAATTTCGAATTTTTGATATTCGAATTTTTAATTTTTTAAAATTTGATTTCTCTGTTTTTCAGTTTTTCCATTTTTCGACTTTTCGATTATTTGACATTTCGTTACTTGGATTTTTCGAAATCTACTTTCGAATTGTTGATTTTTCGAATATTATTAAATTTGATTCATCGAATTTTCAATTTCTGGATTTTCAATTTTTCAAATTTTCGATTTTTTGATTTTTCGAATTTTCGATTTTTCAATTTTTACATTCTTCAGCTTTTAGACTTTTAAATTATTTTACTTTTTGATTTTTAATTTTTCCATTCTTCAGTTTTTCGATTTTTCAATTTTTTCATTTTTCGACTTTGGAATTTTCGATTATTCGACTTTTGATGTTTCGTTTTTTCTATATTTCGTTGCTTGGATTTTTTGAAATCTGCTTTTTTATTATTGATTTTCGGTTTCTCGATTTTCGATTTTTAGATATTCGAATTTTCCGTTTTCCGATTTTTCAAATTTTCGTTTTTCGAATATTTAATTCATCGAATTTTCGATTTGCCGATTTTCAAATTTTCAATTCTTCGACTTTTCGTTTTTTCAATTTTCAATTTTAGATTTTTCGATATTTCAAATTTTCAATGTTCGAAATTTCGACATTCCAATTTTCAATTTTTAGTTTTTTAATTTCAATTTTTCCTTTTTTCGATTTTAGAATTTTCGATTATTCGACTTTCGATATTTAGTTTTTCTAGATTTCGTTACATGGATTTTTCGATTTCCCGATTTCCGATTTTTTGATTTACGAAGTTTCCGTTCTCCGATGTTTTGAATTTTCAATTTTGCGATTTTTCAAATTTTCGATTTTTGATTTTTTGAATTTTCTATTCATTTCTCAATTTTTCGACTTTGAATTTTTCGATATTTCGAATTTTCGATTTTTCAAATTTTCAATTTTCGAAATTTCGAATTTTAATTATTCCAATTTTCAATTTTTTTAATTTCAGTTTCTCTATTTTTCCATTTTTCCAGTTTTCGATTTTAGAACTTTCAATTATTCGACTTCCGATATTTTGTTTTTTTTTTTTAATTTTTCGAAATCTGCTTTTCGAATTGTTGATTTTTCGGTTTCTCGAGTTCCGATTTTTAGATTTACGAATTTTCGGTTTTCCGATGTTTTGAATTTTCGTTTTCCGATTATTTGATTCATCGAATTTTCGATTTTTGATTTTTTGAATTTTCGAATTTTCTATTCTTCATTTCTCGATTTTTCAATTATTCGACTTTGGATTTTTCTTTATTTCGAAGTTTCGATTTGTCAAATTTTCAATTTTCGAAATTTCGAATTTTAGATATTCCAACTTTAAATTTTTTAAATTACAATTTCGCTATTTTTCAATTTTTCGATTTTAGAACTTTCCATTATTCGATTGTCGAAATTTCGTTTTTTTTTTAATATTTCTTTACTTGAATTTTTCGAAATCTGCTTTTCGAATTGATGATTTTTCGGTTTTTCGATTTCCGATTTCTCGATTTACTATTTTTCAAATCTTTGAGTTCTCAAATTTTCAACTTTTGGTTTTTTCAATTTTCAATTTTTCCATTTTTCAGTTTTTCAATTTTTCAATTTTTGACTTTCCGACTTTTCAATTTTTACTTTCTTCAGTTTTTAGACTTTTAAATTTTTTTACTTTTTGATTTTTAATTTTTCCATTCTTCAATGTTTTGATTTTTCAATTCTTCGAATTTTCGTTTTATCAATTTTCGAGTTTTCCAATATTTGATTCATCGAATTTTTGATTTTTCGATTTTCAATTTTCGAATTTTCAACATTCAAATTTTCAACATTCAAATTTTCAGTTTTTTAAATTATAATTTCTCTATTTTTCAATTTTTTCATTTTTCGAATTCAATTTTTCCATTTTAGAATGTTCCGTTATTCGATTGTCGATATTTCGTTACTTGGATTTTTAGAAATCTGCTTTTCGAATTGTTGATTTTTCGGTTTCTCGCGTTCCGATTTTTTGAATTTTCGAATATCTGATTCATCGAATTTTCGATTTCTAAATTTACAATTTTTCAAATTTTCAAGTTTTGATTTTTTGAATTTGCAATTTTTCCATTCTTCAGTTTTTCGATTTTTCAAATTTTTTGACATTTCGATTTTTGATTTCTCGGGTTTTCGATTTTCGGTGCTCGAACTTTCAAGCTTTTTCTTTTCGACTTTCCGATTTTTCAAATTTTCGTCTTTTCGATTTCTCGATTTTCCGCTTTTAGAATTTTTGATTTTCCAACTTTCGATATCCCGTTTTTTCCACGTTTCGATTCGTGGATTTCAATTTTCGAATTTTTTAATTTTCGGTTTTTCGACTTCTAAATTTTTTAATTTTCGGTTTTTCGAAATTTTGATATTCTAATTTTCAATTTTTTAAATCTCAATTTCGCTATTTTTCAATTTTTACATTTTTGGACTTCGATTTTTCTATTTTTGAATTTTCGATTTTTCGACTTTCGATATTTCGTTTTTCCACATTTCGATTTTTGGATTACTCGAATTTTACTTTTACTTACTAATTACTTTGTTTTCTTTTCATTTTTAGAATTTGATTTTTGGAATTTTTGGAATTTTCGATGTTTCAATTCTTCAATTTTTAAACTTTTTAATTTTTTGATTTCTACTTTTTGTTTTTTCGATTTTTGATCTTTCGAATTTTTGATTTTTCAATTCTTCGATTTTTCGTTTTTTTAATTTTCGATTTTTCGGCTTTGGATTTTTCAATATTTCGGATTTTCAATATTGCAATTTTCATTTTTTTAAATTTCAATTTCTCTATTCAATTTTTACATTTTTCGACTATATTTCGTTTCTTTCGTTTATTGTGTTATTGTATTTTATATTGTATACTTTGATCTCTGTAACTGGGTTTTTACCTGTAGAATGATCAATAAAGATTAATGATTAAAGGTTACTCGGATTTTTCGAAATCTACTTTTCGAATTGTTTATTTTTCGGTTTTTCGAGTTCCAATTTTTGGATGTTCGAATTTTCGGTTTTCCAATTTTTCGAATTTTCGTTTTACGAATATTTGATCCATCGAATTTCCGAATTCTTGATTTTCAATTTTTCAATTCCTCGATTTTTGATTTTTCAATTTTTTACTTTTCGATTTTTTGATATTCGAAGTTTCAGCTTCTTTACTTATTTTTCGATTTTGAAATTCTTTACTCTTCAATTTTTTGATTTCTCGAGTTTCCGATTTTCAACATTCGAATTTTCAATATTTTTACTTTTCCATTTTTCGGAGGCCTTTGGTGTCTTGTTGTTGTAGTGATTTTAGCGGATCTCTATTATTATTATTATTATTATTAAAGAATATGAACTGAGTATCGGGGACTCTGTAATGTCCTGTTTTTTTACCTGTAGTTTAACAGTCCATATTTTATAAATAAATAAATAAAATTCGAAAATCAAATTTAACAATTTTCCTAATAAACCGAATTTGTTTTCACTGCACTTCACCGGAAAACTCTGTCCAAACCGTCCAACCCAAACAATTGAAAAAACGGCGCCATACCTATATCAATATTTACTCAAAACGTGAACTGATAAGCCGAACACAATACAGATAACAGCAAAAACTTACTTTCCCGAGTGACAATCGTGCAATAAAAATGTCCCACTTGAAGAAATAATTAAGTAAGTCTCAACCACACTAACACCCTTCGACACTCCACCATCGACTTTCACCCCATGCCAATTCCGACCCATCTCGCCGCCATCTCACTCCCCTTATCTTATCACTCCATAAATTTCTCCCAGTTCGCGACCGCGTGGACAAGCCGCGCCGAAACGCCGCCCGGGGGATGGGTGTACCCCCAGATCTGTACCAAGGCTATGGAAACCGCTCGGATTAACACAACTTAGAACACATACTCTACAAATTTAATACGAAAAGTGTCAAGGTTGGCAATGCTGCTGGTTGCACATTAATTAAGTCGACTATTACAACATGAACACTCACTCGCACATAAACCAGTCGACAAGTAAAAGTTTTATTTATTATTAATATTAGTCCGTCTCTGCTAAACACTCAGACGGACGATGTGACATAACACAGATGCGGGGAGGAATTATGTCAAAGGTCGTACTTCTTGTGATAAGTGCTGGTAGAGTCATGTGACCAGGAAAAACACTAAAGTGGTGATAGTTTTTTTCGACGGGATCGAAGCTCCAAGTGCAGGATCTGTGATAAATTGTGATAGACGGGTGTCTGATAACATGCGAGATTTTTGGAAGAGGTAAGAAAGAACGGGATTACGAATACGCGGAAAGTGATTGTAATGTGGTCAACGTTCACTTTCGTTTTCAATCAATCGACAACTATTGTTCTATTTCTTAAACTACGAAATTCGGGGCCTGGTTTCAAATATTTATTATAAAATCCAAAAATTTTTAACACTGTCACCAGTCAAGTTCTTGACGCTTTGTAAAATCGTGTTTAAGTTATAAGACAAACTCGGGACCCACCTCAGGTCCTTTGTTATTCAGCGATTTCGTAGATGATTTAAACCGGAAACTTGAAATTTTGTAAAGTGGGTTGAGAATCATGTTGGTTTAGAAAAGAAAACCAAAAATCAATCACTGCCAAATCAAACAGATAAGATAAATATTAATCAAAATTCTTACAAAAGTTGCACAGTTTTCGATATAAATTCATTATATTTCATTGATAAGCCACTATCAAACTACTTGACGTTTCTAGCCCGTAAAGTTTTACGTGGGAGGTCACAATATCACACTTCGTTTGATGCACATTTATGAAACAATAGCCCAGAAACGATAAAACTAGCAAAACTCTCTTTTCAGGTAATGTAACTATGGTAGGAATAACCAACAAAAGATGGTTCATATTACTAGCAACGGCAACAACAACCATGTTTCTCGTAATGGTAATCTACAAACCCAAGTACTACGAACCCATAATCATCGAAAACAACAAAATCGTACCCATGTACGAAAACGTAATCAACTTCTCGGAACCCAGGATGTCGAAAAAACCGCTACAAAACTGGCGAGGACTGACCAAAAACCAAGTCGGTACCCAAAAACGTCCAAATCCGTATAACGCGTTTCGTTGCAGACCCACAGACTATCAGTATTAGGGCGAATACTATTCCTGCAGGAAGATCCACCGCAACCGGCGAAACCCGACCACAAGTACCAAATCTTGGTATGGAAATATGGCAAGACCATAGAAAACCGACACTTGAAAAGATTCGGCAAAGAAGAGTAAGTTCACGTATAAATCAACCAGAAACGCAACTATAGTTTCAGGTTTGACCCGTTCGAAGACTGCTCGGTCCGCAACTGCGAAATAACGTATGAGGATGCAGCTTTAACGACTGCAGATCTAGTGATCTTTCACCTCCATCGTATGAAAAAAGACGATCTTCCGAAGAAACGCGGTCCGAAGGAGCAAATTTGGGCTTTTTTGACCGACGAAAGTCCGAATCACACCTTCCTGAATAAGAACAACCTCACGAACTATAACGGGTTGTTTAATTGGTCGATGACGTACAGGTAACCAATTGGTGGCGAGCACGTGGCGCGGAGTTGCTTCTGATTGGTTCAGTGTGATTAATTTGTTTTAGGATGGACTCGGATATTCCCGTGCCGTACGGACGGACAATTCTACGACAAACCCCCCTAGACGATACTTTCACCATTAATAAGCGAAAGGACGTTTTGGTGGCAATTTTGGGGTCGAACTGTGGCGGCAAAAACAAGCGCTGGGACTACGTAAAAGAACTAAAGAAACATATCGCTGTGGACGTTTATGGGGGCTGCGGCACGCTAAAGTAGGTGCGTTTCGCTCGAGTTAAAATTCTATAGTAGTGTTGTAGGTGTCCCGGACACTTCAAAACCGACTGTCCAGCCATCGACTCCTATTTATTTTACCTAGCTTTCGAAAACTCCAACTGTGATGAATATGTAACCGAGAAGCTGTGGTGGAACGCCTTCGAGAAGAACTCCATCCCGATCGTGATGGGGGCGACCAAAGAAAGTTACGCCAAACTTCTACCTCCAAAGTCGTACTTAAATATCGACGATTACGCGCAACCCAAAGATTTAGCCACCCATATTCACTACTTGAACATGACGGGGCACTATCGCGAGTATTTCGAGTGGAAACGGGACTTTGAAGTGCTCAACGAGCACGGTTACTTCCAAAGCAAATCGTATCACTATTGTAGGGTGTGTGAAGCGCTGAACTACAACACCAAGAACACGAAGATATACCAAGACTTGAGCGGGTTTTGGAGCGTGAGCAGGGACTGCCATCCAGCGTGGAACGCTTAGTTTTGTAAAAAGTTGTTATTTATCAATAAATCCAAAGATTGAGGTTATGTTTTTCGGAAAGCAAACGAAAGCACTTACCGGGTGAATGAGGAAGCCGAGACAAGTCCAAATGCACGGAAAGCGCAACAAACACTCGCTAAATCACTTTTTTTGGGTTTTCGACTGAAACAAGATCTGAGGTTCTGTGTCTGTCACTAGCCACTTGCCAACATTGACAGACGTCTGGGGATTTTAGCACCACACCACGTTCACGAAAAACGACCAAAACCGCAATTAAAGAAAAGAAACGACTAAAAATCAGACTAAAGTCGTTTTTGTTGCTGAAAAAACGAAAAACTTGTGTATTGTTTATTTAGTTATTTTTGTCGTTGAGATTGGTAACACAAGTGAACTTAGCGCACTATTGTTGTAATAATAAAATTACATAGAGCAGCCGTGTAACAATAAATACCAACCACTTAAAAATGTTTTAAATGAATTATAATAATTGGCACGCCGCTTTAATACTGTGCTCGACTGTGGCTCGAACCAACCAACAATTAGGTTGGCAACACCGCGAAGTTGGCATAATATCATAGATTAATATAGATGCGACATACAGGCTGATTTTGCAAAACCACCCTTATTGACATTGGAGTCCTCAACCGTCAAAGGCAAGCGCCAAATTTAAATAGTTAGTCTAAAACTTGTTTCACTACGACTCGTCGCCTGAGAACTTGTTTGATCTACAGACCAGAGCGCGCTCAGGCCAATGTCGACTCTAAGCGTTCAGAAGCGATTTGGTTGGTTAGGACTATAATTTCTGCGGGAAATGATATTAACAGTGAGAAAAAAAAAAAAATAAAAAATAAAAATAATCGAAAATACGAAAAATCGAGAAATCTAATAATCGAAAAATCGAAACCTTAAAAAATCGTAAAACCGAAACATTGAAAAATCGAAATTTCGAAGAACTGAAAATCGAAAAATGAAACAACAGAAAATCGAAAAAATGTAAAATTCAAAAATCTAAAATTTAAAAACCGAATAACGAAAAATCGAGAAATCGAAACTGCCAAATTTAAAAAATCGGATAACTGAAAAATCGAAAAATCAAAAGATCAAGAAATCGTGGAGTCGAAAAGTCGAACAATTTGGAAGCCGAAGTAGGCCAAAATCGAAAAATCGAAAAGTTAAAAATTGGACAAATTATAAATTGAGAAATTGACAATCAAAATATCGAAAAACCCAAATCTCGATAAATTGAGAAATCAAAAAAATTAAAAATTCGAAAAATTGAGAAGAGATAAATCGACAAACAAAAAGTTAAAAGTTGAAAAATTGGAAAAATCAAAAAACGAAAAAATGGAAAACTGGAAAAACTGAGAAACCGAAATAGGCCAACATAAAAAATTGAAAAAATGATAAATCGAAAACATGAATAATCAAATCTCGATAAATCGGGAATGAAAAATTAACAAATCGAAAAATTGAAAAACAGAATATCTAAAACCAGGAAGTCGAAAAATCGAAGGGTTAAGAAATATTGAAAAATTAAACATAAATCGAAAAATCTAAAATTTAAAAATCCAAAAAGTAAAAAAATCGACATCGAAAAATCCAGGAGTCAAAAATCGAATCGACTTTTTGAATTTCCCATTTCTAAATTTTTTGACTTTTCAGTGTTTTAATTCAAGTTTTTGAATTTCCGGGTTTTCGTTTTTCCATTTTCGATTTTTCAAATTTTCCATTATTATTATTCGGCTTCCACTTTAAGACGTTTCGATTTCTCAATTTTTCGGTGTTTTAGTTTCGGCATTTTTCAATATTTCGATTCTTCAGTTTTTCGATTTTTCGACTTTTCGATTTCTCGGTTTTTATTTTTTCGTTTTTTTAGTTTTTGGATTTTAAAATTTTAAATTTTTCAACTTTCAATTTTTCCAAATTTTAATTTTTCAATTATGAAGACACTGCATATTTCGGTTTCTCTATTTTTCGATTTTTCAGTTCTGTGATTTCTGTTTTTCAATTTTTCGAACATTAAATTTTAGATTTTGTTTCAATTTCTTGAGCTTTCGAAATTTCAACTTCTTGGTTCTAGATTTTTCAATTTTTCGATTTTTAAAACAAATTTTTCGGTGTTTCAATTTTTCTATTTTCTTCAGTTTTGACCTATTCCGATTTCTCAAATTTTCGGTTTTTCTACTTTTTGGCTATCCGGTTATTCGATTTTCCATTTTTTTGATGTTTCAATTTTTAATTTTAGACATTTGGATTTATCGATTTGTCGATTTTTCAGTTCTCCGATATATTTTTCAATGTGGCGGATTTTTAAATTTTTGATTTTTCAGTTTTTTGGTGTTTCAATTTTTCGTTTTTACATTTTTTTAATGTTTTGATTTCTTGACGATTTTTCTACTTTTAAAATTTTTAAAGTTTTTGGATTTTTAGATTTCTCGATTTTTCGAGTTTTCGATTTCTCAATTTTTTAATACATATTTTAATTTTGACAACTTTTGCGTTTCTCGATTTTTTCAATTTTTCGGTTTATAACGTTTCTAAATGTTCATTTTTACGATTTCCTAATTTCTCAATTAATCGATTTTTTTATTATTCCATTTTTCAATTTTTTACTTTTCGGTGGTTCGATTTTTCAGTTTTTCAATTAAATGTTTTGAATTTTCGTGTTATCGTTTTTCCATTTTTCAATTTTTCAAATTTTCTATTATCCGACTTCCAGTTCTCGACTTTTCGATTTCTCAATTTGTCGATAAAATTTAAAAATCGAAAAAGTAAAACTGAAATATGCAAAAACTGAGAACCCGAAAAGTTGAAAAATCCAAAAAGTGAAGTCGAAAAATCGAAACCTTAAAAAAACTAAAAATGAAAAATCAAAAACCTGAAAAATCGAAAAATTAAAGAATTGAAGAACAGGAAAATCGAAACCCTCGAAAGTCAAGAAATGGGAAAATTAAAACATCGATTAATTGAAAAATCGAAAAATTGACAGTCAAAATGTCAAATTTGAAAAAATGAAAAATCCAAAATTTGAAAAAACGGCAATTGAAAAACAGAAAATCTAAAACAGGGAAGTCGAAAAATCGAAAGATTAAGCATCCGAAAAATTGAAAAATCGAAAAAGTAAAAAAAAAATCGATTGGATAAGAAATCAAAACATTTGAAAAATTCGAAAACTTGAAAAGCTGAAATATCGAAGAACTGAAATGAAAAAACGAGAAATGAATTTAAAATTTTAAAAATTAAAAAAGCTAAAATTTAAAAATCGAAGAAGTAAAAAAATCGACACATCGAAAAATCCAGGAGTCAAAAATCGAAAAGTCGAAGAATCGAAATATTGAAAAATCCCAAAACTGAAATATCGAAAAACTGAAAAATGAAAAAAAACTAAAAATGGGAAACTAAATCGGGAAATCAAAACATCGAAAAATCGAAAGAATAAGCATCCGAAAAATTGAAAAATCGAAAAAGTAAAAAAATCGACACATCGAAAACTCCAGAAGCCAAAAATCGAAAAGTCGAAGAATCGAAATATTGAAAAATCTCAAAACTGAAATATCGAAAAACTGAAAAATGAAAAAAAACTAAAAATGGGAAACTAAATCGGGAAATCAAAACATCGAAAAATCGAAAGATTAAGCATCCGAAAAATTGAAAAATCGAAAAAGTAAAAAAATCGACACATCGAAAACTCCAGAAGCCAAAAATCGAAAAGTCGAAGAATCAAAATATTGAAAAATCCCAAAACTGAAAATATCGAAAAACTGAAAAATGAAAGAAAAACTGAAAAATCTGAAAACTGAAATATCCAAAAACTGAGACCTTAAAAGTCGAAAAATTAAGCAATCGAAAAATCCAAAAAGGGAAGTCGAAAAATCTAAACCTTAAAAAAACTGAAAAATGAAAAATCAAAAACCTGAAAAATCGAAAAATTAAAGAATTGAAGAACAGGACTATCAAAACTCTCGAAAGTCAAGAAATGGGAAAATCAAAACATCGATTAATTGAAAAATCGAAAAATTGACAGTTTATAAATGTCAAATTTGAAAAATCGAAAATTTTAAAAATTGGCAGTTGAAAAACAGAAAATCTAAAACACGGAAGTCGAAAAATCGGTAAATTAAGAAATCAAAACATTTGAAAAATTCGAAAACTTGAAAAACTGAAATATTGAAGAACTGAAATGAAAAATCGAAAATTCGAAAAATCTAAAATTTTAAGTATTTAAAAATTAAAATATCAAAAACTGAACAATTTAAAATTTAAAAATCGAAAAATCGAAAGATTAAGAAATATTGAAATATGGAAGAGCTGAAATGAAAAATCGAGAAATCGAAAAATTAAAATAAAAAAACTGAGAAATCTAAAATTTAAAAATCGAAAAAGTAAAAAGGCGACAACTCGAAAAATCCAGAAGTCAAAAATGGAAAAGTCGAAGAACAGAAATATTGAAAAATCCCAAAACTGACGAATCGAAAAACTGAAAAATCTCAAAATTAAAAAATTGAGAAATCGAAAAATCAAAAAAATGAAGTTGAAAAATCTAAACCTGAAAAAATAGAAAAATTGAAAAACCAAAAAACCTGAAAAATCAATTCATTGAAAAATCGACAAATAAAGAGTTTATAAAAGTCAAAAATTGAAAAATCGAAATATTTAAAAATCGTAAAATTGAAGAAAAAAACTGAAAACCAAGAAATTTAAAAATTGAGAAATTGTAAAATCCAAAAATTGAATAGTAAATAGGAGTAAACTGAAAAGTCCCCAAACTAAAATTTCGACAAACTGAGTTTCGGTTAGAATGTGTAACAGATCACGGATCATGGCTTATGAATCAAATCGTTTCCGAACGCTTAGAGTCGACATTGGCTTGAGTGCGCTCTGGTCTGTAGATCAAACAAGTTCTCAGACGACGAACTGTAATTCGTAATATTCTGGTAAATCTAGTGTCAATTTGTCGAAAGTAAAACGCGTCGTTAAAAATATTATGACATTTTTTCTATTGTAGTTAATTTTATTCCTAGTAGAAACAAACACTGTTGCCAACGTAAGTCGAGGAGTCCTCAACCGTCATTTAATTTAAACTATGACGCTTCTCTATGTTCTCTGATAATATTTTGACATTTCATCAAACAAGTCGAAAAATGTTGAAACCGAAGGCTTTGACGCAAGTTTTGAGCCAGGCGAACACGGGGGGCGTCGAAAACACCTTGTAGTGTCTTTGCGGGCGTCCTCGTTCACTTTTGTAACTGTCGAATTTTTTAGGTTATTGAATCAAGAGGGGGCACTTTTGGCGTACAGCGGCTACGGGGACAGGGACGCGCGCGTGACGGCCGCCATAGCCAGTAACATCTGGAGCGCCTACGAGAAGAACGGTCGTAACGCGTTCCGGGAAGATCACCCCCAGATGGTTCTCATGGAGTGTACGGACGGCAGGATTGCGATTACGCAGGTCGCGAACTTGCTGCTTTGTCTCTACGCCAAGAATAACGTGGGGTTCGGGATGTTGAAGGAGAAGGCCAACGCGTTGGCGCTTTATTTAGAGAATCCGTTGAAGCAGGTGGCCACGTCGTAGTTTGTAACTAATAGGATTAAATTTTTTTTTGATTGCACAATTTATTGATATAAACAAACGTTTAATATACAAAACATTAGTCTAAAGACATTCCGTACAAAATAGGAAATCTATTATACAGACGTTTAAGTTTAAAATCAAGGAATAACTTTTGAAGTAGTTTGATTTATACGTAAAATACGGCCAACTAAGGAATCCGATTGTTAGTGGCTCAAACACCCAAAAAGTAAGTATTGCTTAAAAACGGAGTGGTTGAAGTTGTCATGTAACGAAATTCCAAGCAAAGTTATAAAAACGCTCCTTACAGTACATTTTGTGCGTTTGATAAATATGACATACCTTAAATAGAAAAACTACACAAAATATACTATAATAACCGTGTCTTACACATAGAAACATGACGTATTGTAGAGTAAGTCGAAACCAGTTACGTTTCTACATGAAAGAAGCTTAATATCCACCTCTGACGCATTCTGCCTTTATAAAACTAATATCATGTTGGATGCGAATTGATTGTAAAGGCACCTCCAATCCTAAACAATGCGTCTAGAATAAAACCGGACGTATACCACACGACTCGCTACCTAGTCCTAAAACAAGTGGAATGAACGAATATCGTGGCTGACACAGGCTCGAGGATGATTAAATACAAACAATTACGACACGCAGGATAAAACCCAAACTAATTCATTCCACCTCCCCAGACAAACTAAACTCTAATTTAGAAGCAAGATCTTCAGTAGCGGCAGCGTCGACACGAAAATTCTAAAAAAGTCTCACACCCGATTGTTTCAGTCCATTTAACTAGCTTTACATCCGGGAGCCCTTCTGCTGCAGCACTTTGGCGCGGTCGCTGTGCTCCACCTCGATCCCTTCCGGAGCCCCATACTCGCGGCTCACCACGCACAAAAACTCCGCGTGCTCGTCGGCGCCATAATTATACTGCGACCCGATGTTCACCAACTGCTCGAACTTCCAGCCATCCGACATAGTCGACACCATCTGTAAAACTCAATCGTGACGCTGGTCTCGCGCGGACGTTTCTTTACCTGTGTGAGCTCGTCTTCGTGGCACTGCAGCACCCGGTACACGTGCTTTTTGCTATCCTTGCTTGGCCGGTTGTCCCGGTGACATATCCTCTCTTTGACTAAAGTGATGAGTTCGGCAACGTTGTAGAATTCAGCCTCCTCGAGGATTCCCTCCTCGGCCAGACCTTTGTTTATCACTAGTTTGCCGTGTCTGAGGTAGTTCAGAACGGGGGAGAAGTAGTTGGGGTCGCGGTCTATGAGATAAGCCCCCGTGTCGTCCTGCAACAACGGGTTTAGGGACGTCCGCTGACCACCTTCCACTCACCTTATCTGAAATTAGATCGCTGTCTTCTTGGACTAGTCTGAATAAAAAGGAATTCGGGTCTCTGGCTAGGGTTGTCTTTGTCGTTAGGAAATACGTTCCGCCTACGTTTAATTTGACCCATTGCTTATTTCCGTTTTTGAAAAAAGATTGTTTATTGTCCACGGAGTTCACACCATGCTCCGCCATGTTTACTTTCGGGTGACAGATGAATGACAGATGACGGAACGACAGCGCGGGGTGTCACTGGAGCGAAGAGGAGGGGGAACATGGAGGTTATTCGAATCGACAAAACTCGAAAAAGTGGATTTTTGCTATTTTACGAATTTCTGCAACGACAATTTAATAATAACACTGGGCAACAATATTAAAAAAAAAATTGTGCCATGCATAATTGCAATCATTTTTACTTAATATGGGGTTGCTAAACACGTCTATAGTAATAAAAATGCACAATTGGTAATAGTTTTTGAAAAATAAAAATGTTTATTTTATAGACTCTGGGAAAAACAGTGGAATTTTTGAAGAAATGGAGTCGAAAATAATTTCTAGAAAACAAAAAATGAGATTTTTCAAAAATTACAAAACAAAATCATCAAAATATATTTGGATTATTTGATTCGAAAAATATAACTTGTTGATGGTCACGGATCAAGATTTTCGAAAAATTCGACAAAATTCGGTTCGAAAATGATTTTTTTTTAATATTTCCAAAATTGTAGTTTTTCTCTTCATCTATTCTGGAAAAATTGTTGAAATTTTGAGGAAATGAAGCCCAAAATAATTTCTACAAATCGCAATCTACAAGAAAATGTCTTTCACTAATTTTCGAAGTGTGCTTGAAAATGGTGAAAAATTTATACGGGATGCTATAGAAAAATTGAAATTTTTCAAAAATTACAAAAAAAAATCCTCAAAAAATTCTCCCAAGTATATTTCCACTATCTGATTCCAAAAATATAACTTGTTGATGGTCACAGATCAAGATTTTTAAAAAATTCCGTAAAATTCAGTGTGAAAAGAATGTTTTTCTTAATATCTCGAAAATTGTCATTTTTCCTTTCATAAATTTTGGAAAACTCTTGACAGTTCTGAAGCAATGAAGTCGAAATCTACAAGAAAATGTTTTGGGTAATTTTTAAAGTGTGTTCCAAAAATGGCCAAAAATTTCATACGGGAGGATATGGAAAAACGGACATTTTTCAAATATTTACTAATAATCCCCAAAAAATTCTTTGACGAGCTGATTCAAAATGCACAACTTGTCGATGGTCCCGGACCAAGATTTTCGAAAAATTAGACAAAATTCCGTTCGAAAATGATTTTTTTTTAAATATTTTCAAAATTGTAGTTTTTCTCTTCATCTATTCTGGAAAAATTGTTGAAATTTTGAGGAAATGAAGCCCAAAATAATTTCTACAAATCGCAATCTACAAGAAAATGTCTTTCACTAATTTTCGAAGTGTGCTTGAAAAATGGTGAAAGATTTATACGGGATGCTATAGAAAAATTGAGATTTTTCAAAAATTACAAAAAAAATCCTCAAAAAATTCTCCGAAATACATTTCGACTGTCTGATTCGAAAAATATAACTTGTTGTTTCTGAATCAAGATTTTCGAAAAATTCCGTAAAATTCAGTGTGAAAAGGATTTTTTTTAATATCTCGAAAATTGTCATTTTCCATTTCATCAATTTTGGAAAATTCTTGAAAGCTTGAAGCAATGAAGTCGAAATCTACAAGAAAATATCTTGGGATTCTTGGGTAATTTTTAAAGTGTGTTCCAAAAACTGCCAAAAATTTCGTACAGGAGGGTATGGAGAAATTGACATTTTTCATAAATTTACTATTAATTTCCGAAAAATTCCTTGACGAGCTGATTCAAAATACGTAACTTGTCGATGGTCCCGGACCAAGGTTTTCGAAAAATTCGACAAAATTCGGTTCGAAAATAATTTTTTTTTAATATTTCCAAAATTGTAGTTTTTCTCCTCATCTATTCTGGAAAAATTGTTGAAATTTTGAGGAAATGAAGCCCAAAATAATTTCTACAAATCGCAATCTACAAGAAAATGTCTTTCACTAATTTTCGAAGTGTGCTTGAAAATGGTGAAAAATTTATACGGAATGGCATAGAAAAATTGAGATTTTTCAAAAATTACAAAAAAAATCCTCAAAAAATTCTCCGAAATACATTTCGACTGTCTGATTCGAAAGATATAACTTGATGTTCCTGAATCAAGATTTTCGAAAAATTCCGTAAAATTCAGTGTGAAAAGGATTTTTTTTTAATATCTCGAAAATTGTCATTTTCCATTTCATCAATTTTGGAAAATTCTTGCAAGCTTGAAGGAATGAAGTCGAAATCTACAAGAAAATATCTTGGGATTCTTGGGTAATTTTTAAAGTGTGTTCCAAAAACTGCCAAAAATTTCGTACAGGAGGGTATGGAGAAATTGACATTTTTCATAAATTTACTATCAATTTCCAAAAAATTCCTTGACGAGCTGATTCAAAATACATAACTTGTCGATGGTCCCGGACCAAGATTTTCGAAAAATTCGACAAAATTCGATTCGAAAATGATTTTTTTTTAATATTCCCAAAATTGTAGTTTTTCTCTTCATCTATTCTGGAAAAATTGTTGAAATTTTGAGGAAAGGAAACCCAAAATAATTTCTACAAATCGCAATCTACAAGAAAATGTCTTTCACTAATTTTCGAAGTGTGCTTGAAAATGGTGAAAAATTTATACGGAATGGTATAGAAAAATTGAGATTTTTCAAAAATTACAAAAAAAATCCTCAAAAAATTCTCCCAAGTATATTTCCACTATCTGATTCCAAAAATATAACTTGTTGATGGTCACAGATCAAGATTTTTAAAAAATTCCGTAAAATTCAGTGCGAAAAGAATGTTTTTCTTAATATCTCGAAAATTGTCATTTTTCCTTTCATAAATTTTGGAAAACTCTTGACAGTTTTGAAGCAATGAAGTCGAAATCTACAAGAAAATGTTTTGGGTAATTTTTAAAGTGTGTTCCAAAAATGGCCAAAAATTTCATACGGGAGGATATGGAAAAATGGACATTTTTCAAATATTTACTAATAATCCCCAAAAAATTCTTTGACGAGCTGATTCAAAATACATAACTTGTCGATGGTCCCGGACCAAGATTTTCGAAAAATTCGACAAAATTCGGTTCGAAAATGATTTTTTTTAAATACTTCCAAAATTGTAGTTTTTCTCTTCATCTATTCTGGAAAAATTGTTGAAATTTTGAGGAAATGAAGCCCAAAATAATTTCTACAAATAGCAATCTACAAGAAAATGTCTTTCACTAATTTTCGAAGTGTGCTTGAAAATGGTGAAAAATTTATACGGAATGGTATAGAAAAATTGAGATTTTTCAAAAATTCCAAAAAAAAATCCTCAAAAAATTCTCCGAAATACATTTCGACTGTCTGATTCGAAAAATATAACTTGATGTTCCTGAATCAAGATTTTCGAAAAATTCCGTAAAATTCAGTGTGAAAAGGATTTTTTTTAATATCTCGAAAATTGTCATTTTCCATTTCATCAATTTTGGAAAATTCTTGAAAGCTTGAAGCAATGAAGTCGAAATCTACAAGAAAATATCTTGCGATTCTTGGGTCATTTTTAAAGTGTGTTCCAAAAACTGCCAAAAATTTCGTACAGGAGGGTATGGAGAAATTGACATTTTTCATAAATTTACTATTAATTTCCAAAAAATTCCTTGACGAGCTGATTCAAAATACATAACTTGTCGATGGTCCCGGACCAAGATTTTCGAAAAATTCGACAAAATTCGGTTCGAAAATGATTTTTTTTAAATATTCCCAAAATTGTAGTTTTTCTCTTCATCTATTCTGGAAAAATTGTTGAAATTTTGAGGAAATGAAGCCCAAAATAATTTCTACAAATAGCAATCTACAAGAAAATGTCTTTCACTAATTTTCGAAGTGTGCTTGAAAATGGTGAAAAATTTATACGAGATGCTATAAAAAAATTGAAATTTTTCAAAAATTACAAAAAAAAAATCCTCAAAAAATTCTCGGAAATACATTTCGACTGTCTGATTCGAAAAATATAACTTGTTGTTCCTGAATCAAGATTTTCGAAAAATTCCGTAAAATTCAGTGTGAAAAGGATTTTTTTTTAATATCTCGAAAATTGTCATTTTCCATTTCATCAATTTTGGAAAATTCTTGCAAGCTTGAAGGAATGAAGTCGAAATCTACAAGAAAATATCTTGGGATTCTTGGGTAATTTTTAAAGTGTGTTCCAAAAACTGCCAAAAATTTCGTACAGGAGGGTATGGAGAAATTGACATTTTTCATAAATTTACTATTAATTTCCAAAAAATTCCTTGACGAGCTGATTCAAAATACATAACTTGTCGATGGTCCCGGACCAAGATTTTCGAAAAATTCGACAAAATTCGGTTCGAAAATGATTTTTTTTAAATATTCCCAAAATTGTAGTTTTTCTCTTCATCTATTCTGGAAAAATTGTTGAAATTTTGAGGAAAGGAAGCCCAAAATAATTTCTACAAATCGCAATCTACAAGAAAATGTCTTTCACTAATTTTCGAAGTGTGCTTGAAAAATGGGGAAAAATTTATACGGAATGGTATAGAAAAATTGAGATTTTTCAAAAATTGCAAAAAAAAATCCTCGAAAAATTCTCCGAAATACATTTCGACTGTCTGATTCGAAAAATATAACTTGTTGTTCCTGAATCAAGATTTTCGAAAAATTCCGTAAAATTCAGTGTGAAAAGGATTTTTTTTAATTTCTCGAAAATTGTCATTTTCCATTTCATCAATTTTGGAAAATTCTTGAAAGCTTGAAGGAATGAAGTCGAAATCTACAAGAAAATATCTTGGGATTCTTGGGTAATTTTTAAAGTGTGTTCCAAAAACTGCCAAAAATTTCGTACAGGAGGGTATGGAGAAATTGACATTTTTCATAAATTTACTATTAATTTCCAAAAAATTCCTTGACGAGCTGATTCAAAATACATAACTTGTCGATGGTCCCGGACCAAGATTTTCGAAAAATTCGACAAAATTCGGTTCGAAAATGATTTTTTTTTAATATTTCCAAAATTGTAGTTTTTCTCTTCATCTATTCTGGAAAAATTGTTGAAATTTTGAGGAAATGAAGCCCAAAATAATTTCTACAAATCGCAATCTACAAGAAAATGTCTTTCACTAATTTTCGAAGTGTGCTTGAAAAATGGTGAAAAATTTATACGGAATGGTATAGAAAAATTGACATTTTTCAAAAATTACAAAAAAAAATCCTCAAAAAATTCTCCGAAATACATTTCGACTGTCTGATTCGAAAAATATAACTTGATGTTCCTGAATCAAGATTTTCGAAAAATTCCGTAAAATTCAGTGTGAAAAGGATTTTTTTTAATATCTCGAAAATTGTCATTTTCCATTTCATCAATTTTGGAAAATTCTTGCAAGCTTGAAGGAATGAAGTCGAAATCTACAAGAAAATATCTTGGGATTCTTGGGTAATTTTTAAAGTGTGTTCCAAAAACTGCCAAAAATTTCGTACAGGAGGGTATGGAGAAATTGACATTTTTCATAAATTCACTATTAATTTCCAAAAAATTCCTTGACGAGCTGATTCAAAATTCGTAACTTGTCGATGGTCCCGGACCAAGATTTTCGAAAAATTCGACAAAATTCGGTTCGAAAATGATTTTTTTTAAATATTCCCAAAATTGTAGTTTTTCTCTTCATCTATTCTGGAAAAATTGTTGAAATTTTGAGGAAATGAAGCCCAAAATAATTTCTACAAATCGCAATCTACAAGAAAATGTCTTTCACTAATTTTCGAAGTGTGCTTGAAAAATGGTGAAAAATTTATACGGGATGCTATAGAAAAATTGAAATTTTTCAAAAATTACAAAAAAAAAATCCTCAAAAAATTCTCCGAAATACATTTCGACTGTCTGATTCAAAAAATATAACTTGATGTTCCTGAATCAAGATTTTCGAAAAATTCCGTAAAATTCAGTGTGAAAAGGATTTTTTTAATATCTCGAAAATTGTCATTTTCCATTTCATCAATTTTGGAAAATTCTTGCAAGCTTGAAGGAATGAAGTCGAAATCTACAAGAAAATATCTTGGGTAATTTTTAAAGTGTGTTCCAAAAACTGCCAAAAATTTCGTACAGGAGGGTATGGAGAAATTGACATTTTTCATAAATTTACTATTAATTTCCAAAAAATTCCTTGACGAGCTGATTCAAAATACATAACTTGTCGATGGTCCCGGACCAAGATTTTCGAAAAATTCGACAAAATTCGGTTCGAAAATGATTTTTTTTAAAAATTCCCAAAATTGTAGTTTTTCTCTTCATCTATTCTGGAAAAATTGTTGAAATTTTGAGGAAAGGAAGCCCAAAATAATTTCTACAAATCGCAATCTACAAGAAAATGTCTTTCACTAATTTTCGAAGTGTGCTTGAAAAATGGTGAAAAATTTATACGGAATGGTATAGAAAAATTGAGATTTTTCAAAAATTACAAAAAAAATCCTCAACAAAATTCTCCGAAATACATTTCGACTGTCTGATTCGAAAAATATAACTTGATGTTCCTGAATAAAGATTTTCGAAAAATTCCATAAAATTCAGTGTGAAAAGGATTTTTTTTAATATCTCGAAAATCGTCATTTTCCATTTCATCAATTTTGGAAAATTCTTGCAAGCTTGAAGCAATGAAGTCGAAATCTACAAGAAAATATCTTGGGATTCTTGGGTAATTTTTAAAGTGTGTTCCAAAAACTGCCAAAAATTTCGTAGAGGGTATGGAGAAATTGACATTTTTCATAAATTTACTATTAATTTCCAAAAAATTCCTTGACGAGCTGATTCAAAATACGTAACTTGTCGATGGTCCCGGACCAAGGTTTTCGAAAAATTCGACAAAATTCGGTTCGAAAATTATTTTTTTTTAAATCTCGAAAATTGTAGTTTTTCATTTCATCGATTCTGGAAAAATAGTTGGATTTTTAAAGAAATGAACGCGAAAATATTTTCTTCAGGTCAAAATTTACAAAAAATTGTCTTTAGGTAATTTTCAAAGTGTGCTGGAAACATTCTCAAAGAAAGCTTACGGGAGGGTATGGAAAAATTGGAATTATTCAAAAATTGCCTAATATAAGTATATAAAAATTGAACGTTTTTTAACATTTATGTAATTTTTCTTTTTCGACTTTGGCGCTTACACTTCACATCCTGCTCTTTAATTGTCTAGGTGCGAATGTAGAAAGTGAACTTTTAAAGACATATTGCAACCTAGATTTTTATTTGCAGTTAACAAATTTTGCACTATGTCTTTATAATTCTCGGCTCGGTGGTTTCCAAGAAAATTCGTTGCAACTTCTTTAAAGGCAGTCCATGCAGTTTTTTCGTTGCCAGTAATGATGTTCACAAAATCTTTATCTTTGATGAGTTCTCTAATTTGAGGACCTAGAAATATGCCTTCACCGCAAATGTGGCAAAAACTGTCACTACTATTTTTACAATTTCGCGGCATTTTTTTTATACAAAAATGCCCTATATACACTTTTGAACTAACACAAAATTTAAAACTAATTTGTTTTATAGGAATGGCAACTTTTCTAGAAAGTTTCTTTGACAGTTGATGTCAGTTATTTGTTTACTATGGTAACTGGATTTATTAAAAAGACCGTAGCAATTATACATTTTGTGAAAATATGTGTGTATGTTATTGGAAAACTATAACCAAAGGAGACTTTCTATTATCAATTTTGTATTGAGAATACGTAAATTAGTAAGATTTGATTATTTACACTTCCGGCACATAATGACTTTTGCCCAGTGTAATTGTACTTAAATCGATTTTCATGCCAAAAAAAAATTTTGTGCAAATATTTATTGAGCTATGAATATACTAATACAACAGCCATGAAGTCCCCCTGTCCGACCCTTCATCCTTCTCCTTCTTCCAGGGCTTCTTTTCGCTGACCTGGGGGTACTCCGAATACAACAGCCACGAAGTCCCCTTGTCTTTGGGCTTCTTCCGGGACTTTTTCTCGATGACCTCTGGGTCCTCCGCTTGAAGTATCGACAGCTTACCTGTCGGCAAATCCGGTTCTGGAGACACCGAAAGCAACCTAACCCTCACCAGATCCGCGGACTCGGGGTCCATTTCTTGCTCAGGATCCACGTCGTCGGTGGACCTAAACTTGACACTTCTTTCACGCACGAGTTTAACTTCTGGCTGCTTCTCAATTCCTTGTTCTTCTTTCGAAGGGGCTGTGTTCGGTCTCGCGGTGCGTGAAGGGGGCACCGGAAAGTCTTTGCCGTACCGAGCGCGGAAAGCCTCATATCCGGTGCGCACGCTCTGGGGGTTGTCGTGATAGGGGCTTCGTTGGCTGCTGGCCGGTCTTGTCGGCTTCGTCTCGTAGTAGGGCTTCCTCGACCTCATCTCGTACGTGTAGTACCGGGGCTTGAAAATTTTCTTGTAGCTGGCGTCGTCCGAGTCCGCGGAATCCTGGAGTTCTTCGAGCGTGTCTTGAAGGCCCGAAAGCCCCCCCATCAGCGCCGCGTAGCGACGAGCCGCTTCGCTCTGCTCCGCCCCAGACGCCGTCTTACCTCCAATCGTTTTCCCCGCCCATTGGTCGTCGTAGTAGCCCCACCCATAGTTAGTCATCGGGACTCCGTTGCACTCACCACTGGAAATTTCGTGACGTGCGAAAAACGTCGTGACGTCGCCACGCCCACTCGATCACAAAAACTCAGTCCACGCCCCAAAACATTTTATTATCCACCCTCAACAATACATTTTTTATTAGTGGATCTGCACTAATCTTCCCAAGGCAACCTGCTCCCTCTTATCGACGACGACAACCACTTGAACCCTGCTTCGTGCGGAGGGATCGGGCTCTGCCCGCCCCAAGAGTAGTCGTACGGCCCCGGACTGCGTCTCGGCGGAGTCGTCACCTCTTCCGCCTCCATAATGGCCGTCCGCTCCTCCGGGCTCAGAGCGCCATCGAGACTCACCGCCTCGAAGACGCTCATAGTAGGCGACCCCCACGGGGGCGCCTCTTCCTCCAGGAACCCGCCCTCGTCCTCGTGGACCTGCGCCTGCACGGTCATAGTGCGCGGCGACATCGGGGGCGACGCACCTCTCATCGGAGGCGACGGAGTCCTCATCGGGGGCGACGGAGTCCTCATCGGGGGGGGCGACGGAGCCCTCGGCGGCGACGGCGTCCGGCGTCTTATCGGCGGCGGCGACGGCACCGCCCCTTCGAACTCTGGGCCGTAGATCGCGCGGAATTCGGCCGCCGCGTGCGCGTGAGCCCTTTGGTTCTCTTTGTCAATCATCTGTTCTTCTATGACGGTTTCGACCCGGGGCCGTTGCGACCGCAACTGGACTCTCCGCCCCTTTACTTTAACCGTCTTCCTCTTTCTTCTGCTGAACGGGTCGTACCATCTGTGGGCCGTCAGTTCGGTCTTCAGCTGCGAGAAGTCTGGCAGTTCCGGTAGGGCTTCTTCCATGCCGTAATCCATGAATTGGCGCTCTGACATGCTCGGTTCTTCGCTCTCATCCATCTGCTCTTCGACTTCCGAGTATTGGGGTACCCGACCTTCTGGTGGACCAGGCTCGTCGCAGATGTTCATCTCCACTAAATCGTCTGGTGTTAGCCCCAGGTCCTGCAAAGCCGCCTGGTCGTACTCGATCTCCGCTACTTTCTCTTTCTTCGGTTCCTTCTTCTTCCGGCCCGTGTCGAGCTTCGACGGCACGTCGTACTTTTTCTTTTTCTTCTTCGGTTTGGCTACTTCTGTTTCTGAGCCCTTGGACTTGACCGACGTGTCCGACTTGGCCGATCTCACGGATCTGTCGGAGGTCGACCTCACCGGTTTCACGACTTTGGCGGACGCCGGCCTTGCCGACTTGACGGACTTGTCCGCTGGCGCCGCCGGCGCCGCCTCTTGTTTCCTCAATCCCGTGTCGAGCTTCGACGGCACATCGTACTTCTTTTTCTTCTTCTTCGGTTTGGCTACTTCTGTTTCCGAGCCCTTGGACTTGACCGACGTGTCAGACTTGTCCGATTTCACGGATCTGGCGGACCGCGAGGACTTGTCCGATGTGGCGGACTTCTCCGAGGACGGTATCGACCTGTCGGACTTGACGCCCGCCCTGGCCAGAGCCTTCCCTTGCACCTTCGTCTTCGACGGCCTCTTGGCCGCCGGCTTCGGCGGCTCCTTCGCTGGTCCCTTTCCTTTCGGCGGCGGCTTCGCCGGCGCCTTTCCTTTGGCGGGCGGCGCCGCTTTCCCTCGCACCCCTTTCCCGACCTTGGCGCCTTTCCGGCCTGTCGTCTTCTGCTTGTACTCAAATTCGAGGGCGGCGCGCCTGTTGGCTTCCGCCGCCGCCGCCTTGGCCGCCTCCTCGTCGGCGATCCGCTGTTGTTCCATTATCCTCACCATCTCCGGCGACGGCGGCATGGCCTGGAGCTGCTTGTACAACTCTTCCATGGTCTGCATCTTCGGCGCGGTCCTCCTCCGAGGCGGCGTCCGCAGCGCAGCGACGGCTTGCGGGCTCGCCGGGACCACCGTCATGTTGGGTTCGGCAAATTCGTCCAACGGCGCCGCCTCGGCTTCCAGGAGGTTGCCGCCCTCCCGCCCCATTCGCAGAAATGCGGCCATTTCGCCGGGGGCGGACGACGCCGGGGGCCGCCCGTACATCAACGACGTCCTCCGCGCCAGATCGTAGTCGGGACGGCGCGTGATGGGTTGGAGCTTCAACTCCGGAGGCGAGGTGTACCAAGGCACCTGATATTGCGGCCGAACGGGAGACGGGAGACCCTCGGGGACGGGCTGGTCCATCAGGGTTCCTCGAATCGCCGCCTCCCTTTCGGCCTCGGCGGCCATTTGGGCTTCCACTTCCGCTTCGAGGATGTCGTGAATCTCGGCGGCGCGCTCTTCGGGTCCTTCTTGGATCTGCTCCATCTGCATCCAGGGATACTTCTGCAGAGCCGCCCTGGAAACAGAACGTTAGGGAAAGGCTAGATAGAGACGAGGATCGTACTTGTGGCTGTAGCGAATAGTGGGCTTGGCGACGCCTTCCAGCTGCTTCAACGGGTGTCGTTTGGTGCGTTTAGGCCTGAAAACACCTAGTTATCGAAGACCAAAGTAACGTCGGGACTTTGCGTACCTGACGGCCCAAGCTTTAGGAGGCGGTGAGTCTATGGGCCAGTAGCTTCTGACGTCGCTCTTCATGTCCTGCAACGTTTCCCACTCGCTCATCGGCGAGACTGGTTCGAAATCGTCCAGATCCTCGACTTCCGGAAACATTATCTCGTCGAGGGTTTTTGGGGGGTTTTCGGGCGTTTTCGTCGCTCCTCTGGGCGGCGATTCCTCCAGGTCAAATACCTTTCTCATCCTCTTGAGCATCTCCGGCGACATCCCTTCGATATAAACCACCGGCGGTTTTCCCGGAGTGCTGAGGTCGCGTCTGGGGTCGTCTTCCACCACCCTCGCCTGGACGTCCGTTACTTCGACCTAAACACTCTAGTTAGTGGCCCCGAAATAATACCCTTCTTTCTCACCTCGGTTTCCGGAGCACCATCTTCGGGGGGTGAGAATAGCTTTCTCTTTTTCAAATTTTTGCGCAGGACTCGCCTCAGAGGGCCTCTCCGGCCTCCTGGGGTCACTTCTGGCACCGGAAATCTCGCCGTAGGCGACGGCGTATACTGGACGGGCGACCCGATCACCGGTAACCCGGGCCTCCGAGCGATCCTGGTCCTCTCTCTCGGCGGTAACTGCCTCGACGCTCCCATGATTCTCCCGATCTGCTCGTGCTCTTCCTCGCCGAGCGCTTCCAGTATTTCGGAGACGGGCCCCAACCGCGGGGGTTCTCCTCTGGTTCGGATTGTGCGCCTCGGCAGTACTGCTCGCTCTGCCATCTCCTGACGCAGCTCTTCCACGTCTATCGCAGGTGGAGGGCTCACGGTTGGTGCGAAGTCCTCCGGTAGTGGCTCTCCCCAGATCTCATCTTCCATAGGAGGGAGATCGAACACGTCGGGGACGACCTTCTTGGGCGATTCGTACCGTTCTTCGATGGCTGCCAAATCCGGCGGAGCCGACTTTCTCGGCAGCACTCTCTTCCTGCGTCCCCACGGCACCTGTATCGGCCTCCTCTCCGTGATCCGCTCGAACTGGGCGAGTTCGTCTTGCATGATCTGGTCTTCGATCGAGAGCGCCGGCGGCTCTGGCAGTTCTATGATGTGTTCTCGACGGGCCAGAGCACTGCCGTGTGAGTACACTCGGCGACGCCGAGGTCTAGGAAACGGAGCGTTGTATCTTATCTTCTTCCGGAGCGCGACGGGGTCGATGGGAGGTGACAATTCCGGGCTCACCGGAGGCTCGAGATGCCTCGGGGGAGACTCGTACTCCATTTTGTCGGCCGGAAGGTCGAAAATCGTAGGTGTCCGCGGAGGCGTGCCGTGGAGCTTACGGTGGAGGTCGTCAAGGTCGGAGTACCACGTCGAGCGAGGAGGGGAAATCCAGGAGGTCTCTAGTTGCGTGGGTGTCTTCAGAGGGTGGAATTCCATCGGGGGGGATTGGTAGTCCAGTTTGAACGCCTCCGGGGGTAACTTGTCGATGACTTGTGACGGAGAAGTGGGGATTTGTATTTCGTGCTCTAGGTGCGGCGGGGACTCCGGGTATTGGACTTTCAAGCGTTCCGGATCCACCTGTACCCTCGACGGCAGCCCCTGCTTCAACCGCTGAATGTTCGCGAACGGCAAATCTGGAACGTTGATGAGGCCTTCGATGGGTCCTCTCTTTTTCGAGGGCCTCTTCGGCTGGACGCTGGGCTTGGGCGACGTCACGGGGACGTTTTTGAAGGCCGGCGCGCTTTCGAAGTAATCTCGGTATATGACCGCCATATCCTTTATCGTCGTATCTTTCTCCGGGCTCAGTCCTTGCTCCATGAAACCTTCAGGCAGCAGCTCCTCGGCGATTTCTTCGGCGTCTCCTACGAAAGAAAGGCGAGGGAGGAAATAAAGATAAGGAAGGATTGGGGAGGACGATAGTACTTTTATCGGCCTGCTTGAAGTATTCGAGGCCTTCTGTCCATTCGTCTTCTTCGGAGATCTGCTCTAGTGGAGACCGTCTTCCCGGACTCACTGCAAACACACCCTGCGATCAAAGCTCGCTTACAATTACTGACGCACCTTTCGGGGACGCCTGCATGGCCTGCAACTCCCTTGGGGACAGTTGTGCCCTGGCACCCGGTGATCTGCCTGCGGCGCGTTCCTCTTCCTCGAACGCTCGTTCCATTTCTTCGAAATCGTCCTCTTCTACTATTGGAGATTGTCTCGCCCGTGGTGACCCTACAAACACACCTCTGATCAAAGGTCGCTTACGCTTACCGACGCACGTCTTGGACTCGGCGACTTCTCTTCGAGCGCCTGCATTTGTGCAGCGACTCTCGCCTGGACGTCCTGGTACCTCTGCAGATCCTCCAAGTGCTTTGGAGACCGTGGTGACCTGGCACCCGGTGATCTAACTTCGGCGGGGTGCTCCACCTCGTACATTTGTTCCATCGCCTCGAATTCGTCCTCTTCTGTTGGTTCTTCGGTTTCGGTGGGTGCGTCCTAGACACAAACATAAAATTTGATTTCTTTCGGAGTAGTCTCCTAGCTACCTGCTGCAGTCCCGCCAACAACATATCCAAATCCTCGCCGGAGATGTTCGCAACATCGACATCCCCTAAATCTTCCACGGCGACTCTGTCCTGCTTGACCGCCTCCATCTTCAACGAAGTGTCCAACATCTCGTTGTACTTTTCCACGAAGAGGGGATCCTTGTGGCCATGATCGTGACAAGTTTCCATCGTCGCGTACGGTACTTCTGGCACCTCTTCGTCCGCTTCCGTTTCGCCCGTGTCTTCATCTTCGTCTTCGTCTTCGTCGTCGTCGTACTCGAGCCTGGGTATCGGATGCCTCATTACCGACGGGTAGGGATGCGTAATCCCGGTCGAAGTGGACGGGCCTTCGATGATCCCCTCGAAAATCGCCCTAGCCTCCGGAGACACGTGGATGGACTTGTCGAGGTCGACGGCGGCGGCGTGGTCCTTGGGGATCGACTGCGGCGACCTCTTTGCCAGCCGCGACAGCTGCCGCTTTGGACTTTCCTCTTCGACCACTCCTTCCTCTTCTCTTTGGTCTTCTTCCAGACGTTTGCGTTGAAACCGCTCCATGTCGCACCTATACTGAGCCTCCATATCCGCCAGGAACTTGTTGTATTCCTCCACGTATCCGGCCATATCTAAACCACCCAAACCGTCAAACTTTCGATTTTCCTCGAATACAAACCCCACCGTCTGCTTCAAAGCCTTTAACTGGTTCGCCGGGGCTGCCGAACTGGAGGAGCGCCGACGTCTCCGCCTTGGCTGGCGTTTTCGCCTTCGCCCCCTTCTTCACCTTTCCTTTGCTCGGTTTCTTCAACAGTTTCTTCTTCGACGGCTTCGCCTCCACCTCCTCCTCCGAAGGCGCCTCCTCCACCTTCGGTTTCTTTACCACCGCGCGCGCTTTCTTCTTCTTGTCTTCGGGCGGCTCCGCCACCACCTCCTCCGAAGGCGCCTCAACCACTTTCGGTTTCTTCACCACCGCGCGCGGTTTCTTTTTCTTTTTCTTGTCGTCCTCTGCGGGCGGAGGGGGCGGCGCCAATTCCGCCTTCTTCTTCTGCAGCAGCAGCATTGAAGCGCGCGTCTGGCGCGTCTTGGGCGGGGCCTTCTTCACGCGCTTGGTGAGCGGAGGCGGAGTCGGTTTCCCGGGCGGCGGGGGCGTGACGCCGGGGATGCGAGGCGTCAAGTACGGCAGACTGAAGGCGGGGCTAGCTGGAGGCGTGTGCATTGGGCTGGCCGGAGGACTTCCCGCCTCTCCCGCCAATTCGCTTATGAGAAATTCCGGCATCGAAGTGTCCAAATCTACATCGTCCAAATCTACATCGTCGGTGAAGAAGTCGAACTCCTCGCCTTCGGTAGGAGGCGACGCCCACAGGACTTCCATGGGCATGACGACGGTGGAGCTGGCGGGAGGAGCGAATCCCTCCATGGACGAAACGCTGTCTGAAAAGAAGGGTGATAAAGGGCGTGGACGGGGAGAAAGGACGTACCGCCGATTCCCTCTTCGAGGAATTTGGGGTCTAGTAGGTTGGAGCCCCAGGTGGGCGGCTCGCGGTCTTCGGGTGGGGGGCTGATTTTGCCGATGGGACGGGATGGGGGCGTGGAGCCCAGGGGAGTCTTGCGTGGGCTTCTAGGGGTGAATGTGGAAAAAGGGGTTTTTGGGGGTAGCGGATAGTTACTTTTTTGGTGAAGGGGTTTTTTCTTTTGAGGGTTCGGAGGGTGGCGGCTCCTCGGGTGGCGGTGAGGGTGGTTTTTCGGCTGGGGGCGCTTCCACGGGGGGTTGTCCGGGTGGAGTTTCGGCCGGTTTTTCTGCGAGTTCTGGGGATGACGCTGGTTCTGTGAAGGTTGGTGGGGGCTGGCTTACTTCCAGCATGCTTTTGGCGGCTACGGTTTTTAAGTTATTGGTAGTTGGCGGTTGGAGGTAAGAATGTAACCTTTGGGGAGTAGTTGTTTGTCGACTTTGTACCAAGAGGAGAGGGGCTCTTTGGAGATGGCGTAGTAAGCATGGACCCCAAAATCTTCGATGTTTTGGACGGCGACGTATTCCAATAAGTCGGCGGAAAAGTCCGAAATGTAAGGGGGGAAAGTTTCCACGTCTCCTCTCAGGCGTTTCTCTGCCTTCTCCACTCTGTCTTGGTGTTCTTTTTCGAGGATGGTTTTAGCTACATCGACCAGCTTTTTCGGGGAAAAAAATGAGAATTACGCGTAGTGGTAAAAACTAAATCTCTACACTCACTGTTTGATTTTCGGGGAATTTTTCAAGAGTTGCCAAAGAGCTCGGATGTTGCGTAAAAGGGTGAGTCAGCCTTTTTCGTTGTAAAACGAACAAAAGCAGCTTTAAATAGTCTAGTTTGACCTTTTCGTCGGCTGCGGAATCTGTTGCTAGCCTTCTCACCCATGTCGCTGCCAAAACCCTGTCTACACGAAGAAAAACTCGCTAGATTTTGCCTAAGTAACTCGGGGGCTTACCATTGATTTGTGGCAAGTTCAAAATGAGAGGCTTAGTAAATTTCAAGTAGAAATCGAAGTCTGATAAATTTTCCATTGCGAATTTTGATTAAAATACGGAGGATTTCACACCATTGCCCCTAAAATGAGCACTTTATTCGAACTGCAAAAACTTTGACATGTTTGGAGATGACTGCAACTGTCTTGATTTCTTCCTTTCTTTTAAGAAATTTCGAAAAACAGCAAAATCAACGCATCCACGACTCTTTTTGACTGATTGATCATATGAGAACTCGCAAGAAAACAAAACCTCACTTGCTCATCTTTTATTATTTACTAGTAGTTGCTTTATCGGTCCTTGCCGCTTCGACCAAATTCGACCCCCAACTGGGCGACGTCCTCTCATCGCCCCCCTTCTTCCTCCTTCCGACCGGCGAAAAAGCAAACTGCACCTTCCTTGACTCCTCTTTGCTCGTCTTCGCCTCCTTTTCTTTCTCTACAACCGACACCTTACTCCCGAAAATTCTATCTCCCCAACGAACCTTCCGTGCTCGAGCCTGCCTCTTTGCTCTTCGGCAGGCGGCGTTTCCCTGTCGACAAAAGACTCTCGTCAAAACGCGACCACCCCGTCAGAGGGTCGTTCGAAAGCGCGTAATAGCAATGAACGCCGAAATTTTCTATTTCTTGACAGGCAACGTACGTACTTAGGTCTCCGGAAAAGTCGGCGCTGTACGGTTGCGCCCCTTTCCTCAACTCCTTGATCGCTTGATACAGCTAAAACACGTAATTTATAGCGACTGTTGAAGTTGGCACTTTTACAACGTTTTGGTTTTTGGGGAAGTCCGACAGGGTCGGGAATTCGCTGGGGTGCTTCGAGAAGGGTCCGTCGAGCTTGCGCATCTGGAGGAAGTAGATGAGGAGTTTGAGGTAGTTGCTTTTGAGGACTTCGGTGAGGGAAGCGTCGTCGCAGAGGCGCTTGATCCAGGCGCAGGCGAGGGTTCTGTCTAGAGGGGGTGGGGGTATGAGAGGGTTGGGAGTGAAGGGGGCGTACCGTGGAAGGATGGTAGTGCTAGCACCAAGGGTTTGGCGCATTTCCTGTAGAAATTGAAGTCGATGGAATGTAATGAATCCATTGTATGAACGGGAATTTTGAATGATGTCACTGTCATATGTTGTGTAGTTGACAGTAAGTGCATGTAGAGTGCAGTGGGGAGAAATAAAGGCAGTGGTAGTTTGTAACTAATAGTTGTCTGGAAAAGACGCATACCACAACTTCATAACTAAGGAGGGTTTTAAAATACTTAAAACATCCATTTATAGCCCCAGACACAAGTTGTCGCTTTTCTAGGGAGAGCTTTGATGTGTTCAATAACCAAGCCCTCCTACAACTTTCTTTTCGAATTCTCTTCCTGCATCAATTGGTTCGTGTTGGGTTTTCGTAAAGTGAAGTTCAAAAGTGTACAAATGTTTTAAAAATTGTTTATCGTCTAGTATTTTGTGCCATTTGTAAAAATGCCCAAAGTCAAATCGTCTTTAAATGACAAGTACTTTTGAAGGTGTTTAATAGAGTTAGAACACATGTTGGGCTACACGATATTTGGATAGCAGTAGATGAAACTACAAACAAGAAACTGACAACATGTTTAACTATCCTGTTTATGAAAGAAAAGTCTATATATTAAAAAAAAAAAACAAAAACAACATTTAAGCACCCCCCACCCGCCCCGATCTCAATTCTGATGACTTTTTCAGTCCTAATCTGACCGAAGGGCGGAGTTTAATAAATTGTAACATCAATATTTCTCTAGAAAATTCTACCCTTCTAAAAACGTATTTCTTATGGTAATTTCTTGTAGAGAAATGAGAATTTTGCAATTGAACTTCGCCCTTCAGCTCACGATGAATAAAGCATTCATCACAAATGAGAAGGGGTGGGTGGGGGGGACTTATATTTTGTCCATTTTTTCTTAATATACTTCTTTTCCCAATAAGAAACTGACAACTGTTTAACTATCCTGTTATTGAAAACAAACTATACATATAAAAAAAAAACAAACATAAGTCTTATCTTATCAAATACTAGCCCCGCCCACCCACCCTCTATTTTCTTGGAAAGTATGTGATTTGCCAAAATCCGTCTTATTTTGCCAAGTACTAGCAACGCCCCCCCCCCCCTCTCCTAATTCTCACGACTAATTTTATTTCTGTTCAGTATAAGATCATTCATGTCAATCACATCTCACATCAGTTAAAATTTCTGTGAATATATAAAAACCACAAAGTACATTTTTAAAATAATTGTATTTTGTGAAACAAAAATTAATTAGAATTTCCCTTCTTATCTACAAACATTTTATACCGAGCGATTTTGACGCCACTATAAAAATTGCTATATTTCAATTAGCGATTTTCGAAAAACGGTAGGAATTTCTGAAGAAACGAAGCCGAAAATGACATCTGGATATCGAAAGCTAGAAGAAAATGTACTGAACTATTTTCAAAAGTAGTTGAAAAATGGAAAATGTTAAAAGTGCCAAAATCAGTCTTACCTTATCAAATACTAGCCCCGCCCACCCACCCTCTATTTTCTTGGAAAATATGTGGTTTGCCAAAATCCGTCTTATCTTGCCAAGTACTAGCTCCGCCCACACCCTATGTTCTCATTCTAACGACTAACTTAATTTCTGTTCAATCTAAGATCATCATTTCAATGACATCAGTTAAAATTAATCATTGAAATGAGACAGGGTGGGTGGGCGGGGCTAATAACGTTCTTCTGTCAAGTGGGAGTGTGACTAGTAATAGAACCTAGGATTTTAAACATTTCTGTGAATATATAAAAAGCACAAAGTACATTTTTAAATAATTGTATTTTGTGAAACAAATATTAATAAAAATTTCCCTTTTTAACTACAAAAATTTTATACCGAGCGATTTTGACGCCACTATAAAAATTGCTATATTTCAATTAGTGATTTTCGTAAAACGGTAGGAATTTCTGAAGAAATGAAGCCGAAATTGACTTCTGGATATCGAAATCTAGAAGAAAATGTATTCAACTAATTTTCGAAAATAATTGAAAAATGTTAGAAGTGCCAAAATAAGTCTTTTCTTATCAGATACTAGCCCCGCCCACCCTCCCTCTATTTTCTTGGAAAGTATGTGATTTGCCAACATCCGTCTTATCTTACCAAATACTAGCCCCGCCCACCCCCTCTCTTCTCATTCTAACGACTAACTTAATTTCTGTTCAATATAAGACATTCATTTCAATAACATCAGATAAAATTGATCACTGAAATGAGACAGGGTGGGTGGGCGGGGCTAATAATGTTCTTCTGTCAAGTGGGAGTGGCACTAGTAATAGAACCTAGGATTTTAAACGTTTCTGTGAATACATGAAAACCCCAAATTACATTCTTAAAATAATTGTACTTTGTAAAGCAAAAATTAATAAAAATGTCCTTTCCTATCTACAAAAATTTTATACCGAGTGATTTTGATGTAACTGTAAAACTTGCTATATTTCAAATAGCGATTTTGGAAAAACGGTTGGAATTTTCAAAGAAGCCAATCCAAAAATGACTTCTAGATATCGAAATCTAGAAGAAAATGTATTGAAATAATTTTCGAAAATAGTTAAAAAATGTCAAAAGTGCCAAAATCAGTCTTTTCTTATCAAATACTAGCCCCGCCCACCCACCCTCTATTTTCTTGGAAAGTATGTGATTTGCCAAAATCCGTCTTATCTTACCAAGTACTAGCCCCGCCCACCCCCACCCCCCTCTTCTCACTCTCACGACTAATTTTATTTCTGCTCAGTATAAAATCATTCATTTCAATAACATCAGTCAAAATTAATCACTGAAATGAGACAGGGTGGGTGGGCGGGGCTAATCATGTTCTTATGTCTAGTGGGAGTGGCACTAGTAATAGAACCTAGAATTTCAAACATTTCTGTGAATATATAAAAACCACAAAGTACATTTTCAAAATAATTGTATTCTGTGAAACAAAAATGAATAAAAATTTCCCTTTTTATCTACAAACATTTTATACAGAGCGATTTTGACGCCACTGTAAAAATTGGTATAGTTCAGTTAGCGATTTTAGTAAAACGGTAGAAATTTCCGAAGAACCGAAGCCGAAAATGACTTCTAGATATCGAAATCTAGAAGAAAATGTATTGAACTAATTTTCGAAAATAGTTAAAAAATGTCAAAAGTGCCAAAATCAGTCTTTTCTTATCAAATACTAGCCCCGCCCACCCACCCTCTATTTTCTTGGAAAGTATGTGATTTGCCAAAATCCGTCTTATCTTACCAAGTACTAGCCCCGCCCACCCCCCACCCCCCCTCTTCTCACTCTCACGACTAATTTTATTTCTGTTCAGTATAAAATCATTCATTTCAATCACATTCACATCAGTTAAAATTAATCACTGAAATGAGACAGGGTGGGTGGGCGGGGCTAATCATGTGCTTCTGTTAAGTGGGAATGGCACTAGTAATAGAACCTAGGATTTTAAGCATTTTTGTGAATATATAAAAACCAGAAAGTACATTTTCAAAATAATTGTATTTTGCGAAACAAAAATTAATAAAAATTTCTTCTTTTATCTACAAAAATTTTATACCGAGCGATTTTGAGGCAACTGTAAAAATTGCTATATTTCAATTAGCGATTTTCGAAAAACGGTAGGAATTTCTTAAGAAATGAAGCCGAAAATGACATCTGGATATCGAAAGCTAGAAGAAAATGTACTGAACTATTTTCAAAAATAGTTGAAAAACGGAAAATGTTAAAAGTGTCAAAATCAGTCTTACCTTATCAAATACTAGCCCCGCCCACCCACCCTCTATTTTCTTAGAAAGTATATCATCTGCCAAAATCAGTCTTATCTTACTAAGTAGTAGCCCCGCCCACCCCCCCTCTTCTCATTCTCACGACTAATTTTATTTCTGTTCAGTATAAAATCATCCATTTCAATCACATCAGTTAAAATTAATCACTGAAATGAGACAGGGTGGGTGGGCGGGGCTAATTATATTCTTATGTCAAGTGGGATTGACACTAGTAACAGAACCTAGGAATTTTAAACGTTTCTGTGAATACATGAAAACCACAAATTACATTCTTAAAATAATTGTACTTTGTAAAACAAAAATTAATAAAAATGTCCTTTCTTATCTACAAAAATTTTATACCGAGCAATTTTGATGTAACTGTAAAAATTGTTATACTTCAATTAGAGGTATTGGAAAAACGGTAGGAAGTTTCGAAGAAACGAAACCGAAAATGACTTCTAGATATCGAAATCTAGAAGAAAATGTATTGAACTAATTTTCGAAAATAGTTAAAAAATGTCAAAAGTGCCAAAATCAGTCTTTTCTTATCAAATACTAGCCCCGCCCACCCACCCTCTATTTTCTTGGAAAGTATGCGATTTGCCAAAACCCGTCTTATCTTACCAAGTACTACCCCCGCCCACCCCCTCTCTTCTCGTTCTAACGATTAACTTAATTTCTGTTCAATATAAGATCATTGATTTCAATCACATCAGTTAAAATTAATCACTGAAATGAGACAGGGGGGGTGGGGGGGGTATTTATGTTCTTCTGTCAAGTGGGAGTGGCACTACTAATAGAACCTCGAATTTTAAACATTTCTGTGAATGCATAAAAACCACAAAGTACATTTTCAAATAATTGTATTCTGTGAAACAAAAATGAATAAAAATTTCCCTTTTTATCTACAAACATTTTATACAGAACGATTTTGACGCCACTGTGAAAATTGGTATAGTTCAGTTAGCGATTTTGGTAAAACGGTAGAAATTTCCGAAGAAACGAAACCGAAAATGACTTCTGGATATCGAAATTTAGAAGAAAATGTATTGAACTAATTTTCGAAAATAGTTGAAAAATGGTGGAAAATGTCAACAGTGCCAAAATCAGTCATATCTTATCAAATACTAGCCCCGCCCACTCACCCTTTATTTTCTTAGAAAGTATGTGATTTGCCAAAATCCGTCTTATCTTACCAAGTACTAACCCCGCCCAACCCCTCTCTTCTCGTTCTAACGACTAACTTAATTTCTGTTCAATATAAGATCATTCATTTCAATCACATCAGTTAAAATTAATCACTGAAATGAGACAGGGTGGGTGGGCGGGGCTAATCATGTTCTTCTGTTAAGTGGGAGTGGCACTAGTAATAGGACCTAGGATTTTAAGCATTTCTGTGAATATATAAAAACCACAAAGAACATTTTCAAAATAATTGTATTTTGTGAAACAAAAATTAATAAAAATCTCTTCTTTTATCTACAAAAATCTTATACCGAGCGATTTTGAGGCAACTGTAAAAATTGGTATATTTCAATTAGCGATTTTCGAAAAACGGCAGGAATTTCTTAAGAAATGAAGCCGAAAATGACATCTGGATATCGAAAGCTAGAGGAAAATGTACTGAACTATTTTCAATAATAGTTCAAAAACGGAAAATGTTAAAAGTGCCAAAATCAGTCTTACCTTATCAAATACTAGCCCCGCCCACCCACCCTCTATTTTCTTAGAAAGTATATCATCTGCCAAAATCCGTCTTACCTTACTAAGTACTAGCCCCGCCCACCTCCCCTCTTCTCATTCTCACGACTAATTTTATTTCTGTTCAGTATATGATCATTTATTTCAATCACATCAGTTAAAATTAATCACTGAAATGAGACAGGGTGGGTGGGCGGGGCTAGTCATGTTCTTCTGTCAAGTGGGAGTGGCACTACTAATAGAACCTCGAATTTTAAACATTTTTGTGAATGTATAAAAACCACAAAGTACATTTTCAAATAATTGTATTCTGTGAAACAAAAATTAATAAAAATTTCCCTTTTTATCTCCAAAAATTTTATACAGAGCGATTTTGACGCCACTGTAAAAATTGCTATAGTTCAATTAGCGATTTTGGAATAACGGTAGGAATTTTCAAAGAAACGAAGCCGAAAATGACTTCTGGATATCGAAATTTAGAAGAAAATGTATTGAACTAATTTTCGAAAATAGTTGAAAAATGGTGGAAAATGTCAAAAGTGCCAAAATCAGTCTTATCTTATCAAATACTAGCCACGCTCACCCACCCTCTATTTTCTTGGAATGTATGTGATTTGCCAAAATCCGTCTTATCTTACCGAGTACTAGCCCCGCCCCTCCCCCTCTTCTCATTCTCACGACTAATTTGATTTGTGTTCAGTATAAGATCATTCATTTCAATCAGATCAGATAACATTAATCACTGAAATAAGACAGGGTGGGTGGGCGGGGCTAATCATGTTCTTCTGTCAAGTGGGAGTGGCACTAGTAATAGAATCTAGGATTTTAAAGGTTTCTGTGAGTATATAAAAACCATAAAGTACATTTTTAAAATAATTGTATTTTGTGAAGCAAAAATTAATAAAAATTTCCCTTTTTATCTACAAAAATTTTATACCGAGCGATTTTGATGTAACTGTAAAAATTGCTATATTTCAATTAGAGATTTTGGAAAAACGGTAGAAATTTTCGAAGAAACGAAGCCGAAAATGACTTCTGGATATTGAAATCTAGAAGAAAATGTATTGAACTAATTTTCGAAAATAGTTGAAAAATGTCAAAAGTGCCAAAATCAGTCTTTTCTTATCAAATACTAGCCCCGCCTACCCGCCCTCTATTTTCTTGGAAAGTATGTGATCTGCAAAAATCCGTCTTATCTGACCAAGTACTAGCCCCGCCCACCCCCACATCTTCTCATTCTCACGTCCAATTTTATTTCTGTTCAGTATAAAATCATTCATTTCAATCACATCAGTCAAAATTAATCACGGAAATGAGACAGGGTGGGTGGGCGGGGCTAATCATGTTCTTATGTCAAGTGGGAGTTGCACTAGTAATAGAACCTAGGATTTTAAACGTTTCTGTGAATATATGAAAACCACAATTACATTCTTAAAATAATTGTACTTTGTAAAACAAAAATTAATAAAAATGTTCTTTCTTATCTACAAAAATTTTATACCGAGTGATTTTGATGTAACTGTAAAACTTGCTATATTTCAATTAGCGATTTTGGAAAAACGGTAGGAATTTTAAAGAAACCAAGCCGAAAATGACTTCTAGATATCGAAATCTAGAAGAAAATGTATTGAAATAATTTTCGAAAATAGTTAAAAAATGTCAGAAGTGCCAAAATCAGTCTTTTCTTATCAAATACTAGCCCCGCCCACCCACCCTCTATTTTCTTGGAAAGTATGTGATTTGCAAAAATCCGTCTTATCTTACCAAGTACTAGCCCCGCCCACCCCCTCTCTTCTCGTTCTAACGACTAACTTAATTTTTGTTCAACATAAGATCATTCATTTCAATCACATCAGTTAAAATTAATCACTGAAATGAGACAGGGTGGGTGGGCGGGGCTAATAACGTTCTTCTGTCAAGTGGGAGTGGCATTAGTAATAGAACCTAGGATTTTAAACATTTCTGTGAATATATAAAAACCACAAAATACATTTTTAAAATAATTCTAATTTGTGAAACAAAAATTAATAAAAATCTCCCTTTTTATCTGCAAAAATTTTATACAGAGCGATTTTGATGCCACTGTAAAAATTGCCATAGTTCAATTAGCGATTTTGGTTAAAATTAATCACTGAAATGAGACAGGGTGGGTGGGCGGGGCTAATTATGTTCTTCAAAAACCACAAAGGACTTTTTTAAAATACTTATATTTTGTGAAACAAAAATTATCTAAAAAAAAAAAGCGTTTCGTTAAAATTTGCTTTTCCTACTTACCTATGTGGGGCTTATTTTGCCATTTTTCTTGCCTAAATTTTCGTTTTTATCGCCTATTGTTTTTTTTTAGCTTGAAATCAGCTCTTTTTCTAATAGTCACTGTGTCGTTTGGTGTGTTAAGGTCCCAATGAAACAACGAGTAGAAAAACTATTGTATTTGTAACAACATGAGATGAGTTTCCTTACAAAACTTCGCTAAATTAATATACACAAGTACTAAATCTGTTGTAAACGTGAAAAATTCGTAGCGCTACACCACCTGCACATGCGAGAAAGAAAACCTGGATTATGGCACCTTGTACTTATAAAAAAATACTGTCAGTATCGAGCGAAGTAAATAAAACTCGGCAAAATTAATAGTTATATTGTTTGAATCGAATCCTCTTGTCGAAAAAATACATGAATTAATTAATATAAAATTCAGTTCTAAGTTACACATAATTTAAGTAAACAAATCCACAGAAGTCTGAATTAATTATTCTACAACAGAAACAAAGAAATGAGGTATATGAAGAACTATTCCTAATTTATAACCGTTAAAACTTAAGATTAGAAGTAAAAATAGCAATCAGCTGCCTATTTTTCCCGATCTGATTGTCTACGATTATTACTCAAGAGAAAAAGGAAGAAATGACTCGAAAGTTTAAAATTAAGAACATCTCAAAAAAGGCACTTGTCTTATGCACCTATTGCGTACGAAAAAGAAAACAAAGTCACTACGAATATTTACAAATTAGAGCGACTCTGTCGGTAATTCCTCGTTAAAAAATTATAGTCCCGAAGTAGGCATCTTATTACTATGTTTAAAGCACTATACAGTTATTATTTTATGTGCATTTTTTTATTTTATTTGTTTTACTTTTCTCGTAAAACAACCAAACAAACCGTGGCAGTGTAAAAAATAGATGAGAAAAACCGACAAAAACGCACGATTTCCTTAAACGAAAAATTCAAAACCATTTCAAAATTTCGATCCCCTTTGTTCTTGTCGGTTTTAAAATCGAACCAATCGGAACAATATTAACAACAAAAATAAATTACAAATTTATTCCTTACGTTTACTTAACGTAAAACTCAGTCAATCGGTTTCATCTGCGCGATTATTTTCCCCTCCCACAGTGGAAGAATTTCATTGTCGTTGCTTACTTCCTCGTGAGTCACCTGATTGCAAAGATCTTCGCACAGCGTCTTAAAGAAAAATCTAAAACCGGAAAATTATAATCCGCCAAGTCACTTCTTTCTCGATCTCACCTATAGTTCCCCTTCTTCGGCAAGTAATCCTTGAACTGTCTCAGCGTGATCTGACTCCCCGGGATCTTACTCCTGTAAGGGAGCTGCTCGTCGTCGAAGGAGAAAACGGCCGTCGTCATCTCCTCCGTGCTCAAACTCGGCCGCTGCCCCCGCATGGACTTCCTCAACGTGGACTGCCCGCTCTGGGCCAACTCGGGATAGTGCTTACTCGACGATCTACAAAAAACCACACCATTATTATATCATAAGAACACCTATGTCAATTTAAATACGTGCAACGCAATACATACTATTAGATTAAATTAAACCCACCTCTGTTTCGACCTCGTCCGGCCATCATCCTCCGTCAGCCTCCTCCTGATCTCCTCCAGCTGCAGGTCCGTGTTCGGGGACGGCAGCGGCGGCATGCTGGGGTCGGCGATGAACGGCTGCGCCGGCCCCACGCTCGTCCTCTCCAACGAGTTGCTCCTCGAGCCGTACCTCTTGTGCTTCCGGCTCACGCCCTCCCGCACCGCCATCTCGCTGTAGGCGTGCCCGCTCCCGACCTTGCCGCTCCTCTCCGACTCGCGCAGCCACGAGATGACGCGGTTGTCCTTCGTGGGCACGCCCTCCGACACCACCGAGATGCCGCTGTCTGGCATCTCCTCCTTCGTCGAGCGCCTGCAGGACGCCGCCCGCGCGAATCTCTCCTCTCCGTGCTCGGGGATGCTCTTCGACTTCGGCAGCGACTTGCGCTCCACGTCCTCGGCGAAGTCGTGCACGTTGCCCGAGTCGCCGCTGAAGGTCGAGAAGAGGTCGCGATCGCGGCGGCGGCGCGCCTGGCCCCAGGGACCGCGCGGCGGCGGCGTCGTCGGCTTCGGGCTGACGAGGCCCTGCGACGAGTGGTCGGAGAACACGCGCGACACGTGCTCGTCGAGGATGTCCTGGTCGCTGTCGTCCTGGAACTGGAGCTTCTCGCGCATGGCCGCCTCCAGGTCGCGGCTCTGGACGGCGGCGGCGGGCTTGTCGTCGAGCGAGCTGAGCGAGTCGCCCTGGGACAACACACAGTCGATTAAATCTTACGAAATTATTACAAAAACTTTGGTTGGGGTTTTATTTGTCGAATAAAAATCTGGACAGACAGCAGACAGACACACATACAGACGGAAACGAGGATCCATTTTTTTGTACTCTTAGCGTACACAATGTTAGGATACTTTCTTAGTGCGCCCAGGAAGTAAAAATTGGTCGAAAGTGAAATCGACAGAACTTCCCTCGCTTCTGAAGTACTGTCGAACAAATACTGCTCTAAAAAATTATAAAATTTGATTTTGTGGAATTTTATTTTTTCGTGATAACCTCCATGGAGTAAAAACAATATAGAAGGTACTAGTCACAGTGTAATAGAAAAAAAGGACACTTGGGGCCCCCGAGAAGATTTTACATTTTTAAAAAACACAAATAGGACCCCCGAGAAGGTTTTACATTTTCAAAAAACACAGTTGGGGCCCCAGAGAAGGTTGTACATTTTCAAAAAAGACAGTTGGGGCCCTCGAGAAGGTTTTACATTTTCCAAAAACACAATTGGGACCCCCGAGGTTTTAAATTTTCAAAAAACACAGTTGGGGTCTCCGAGGTTTTACATTTTATAAAAAACACTATTGGGGCCCTCGAGAAGGTTTTACATTTTCAAAAAACACAATTGGGACTTCCGAGAAGGTTTTACATTTTCAAAAAACACAGTTGGGATCTCCGAAAAGGTTTTACATTTTCAAAAAAACCAGTTGGGGTCTCCGAGGTTTTACATAAAAAAAAAAAAACACAATTGGGGCCCCCGAGAAGGTTTTACATTTTCAAAACACACAGTTGGGGTCCCCGAGATGGTTTTACATTAAAAAAAAAATACAATTGGGACCCCCGAGAAGGTTTTAGATTTTTAAAAAACACAAATGGAACCCCCGAGAAGGTTTTACATTTTCAAAAAACACAGTTGGGGTCCCCGAGAAGGTTGTACATTTTCAAAAAAGACAGTTGGGGCCCTCGAGAAGGTTTTACATTTTCAAAAAAACACAATTGGGACTTCTGAGAAGGTTTTACATTTTCAAAAAACACAGTTGGGATCTCCGAAAAGGTTTTACATTTTCAAAAAAACCTGTTGGGGTCTCCGAGGTTTTACATTAAAAAAAAAACACAATTGGGGCCCCCGAGAAGGTTTTACATTTTCAAAACACACAGTTGGGGTCCCCGAGATGGTTTTACATTAAAAAAAAAAATACAATTGGGACCCCCGAGAAGGTTTTAGATTTTTAAAAAACACAAATGGGACCCCCGAGAAAGTTTTACATTTTCAAAAATCCTGTTGGAGCCCTCGAGAAGGTTTTACATTTCCAAAAAAGACAATTAGGGCCACCGAGAAGGTTTTACATTTTCAAAAAAGACATTTAGGGCACTCAAGGTTTTACATTAAAAAAAACACAATTCGGACCACCGACAAGATTTTACATTTTCAAAAAACACTATTGGGACCCCCTAGAAGGTTCTACATTTTCAAAAAAGACACTTGGGGCCCCCGAGAAGGTTTTACATTAAAAAAAAAAACACAATTGGGACCCCCGAGAAGGTTTTACATTTTCAAAAAATACAATTGGGACCCCCGAAAAGGTTTTACACTTTCAAAAAACACAGTTGGGCCCCCGGGGAAGGTTTTACATTTTCAAAAAAAGACATTTGGGGCTCCCGAGAAGGTTTTACATTAAAAAAAAAAGACACACAATTGGGACCCCCGAGAACGCTTTACATTTTCAAAAAACACAATTGGGACCCCCGAGATGGTTTTACATTAAAAAAAAAACACAATTAAGACCCCCGAGAAAGTTTTACATTAAAAAAAAAAACACAATTTGGAGCCCCGACGTGTCCAATTTAAAAAAAAAAGAGATTTAGCGCCCCCGAGAAGGTTTTACATTTTAAAAAAAGACACTTGGGGCCCCCGAGAAGGTTGTAGATTTTCAAAAAAGACAGTTCGGGGCCTCGAGAAGGTTTTACATTTTCAAAAAACACAATTGGGACCCCCGAGAAAGTTTTATATTTTCAAAAATCACTGTTGGAGCCCTCGAGAAGGTTTTATATTTTCAAAAAACACAATTGGGACCCCCGAGAAAGTTTTACATTTTCAAAAATCACTGTTGGAGCCCTCGAGAAGGTTTTACATTTCCAAAAAAGACAGTTAGGGCCCCCGAGAAGGTTTTACATTTTCAAAAAAGACATTTGGGGCCCCCAAGGTCTTACATAAAAAAAAACATAATTGGGACACCGACAAGGTTTTACATTTTCAAAAACAGAACAATTGGGACCCCCGAGAAGGTTTTAGGTTTTCAAAAAAGACACTTGGGGTCACATAGATGGTTTTACATTAAAAAAAAAAAAAAACCAATTGGGACCCCCGAAAAGGTTTCACATTTAAAAAAAAGACATTTGGCGCCCCCGAGAATTTTTTAGATTTTTAAAAAACACAAATGGGACCCTCGAGAAGGTGTTACATTTTCAAAAAACACTGTTGGGGCCCCCGAGAATTTTTTAGATTTTTAAAAAACACAAATGGGACCCCCAAGAAGGTGTTACATTTTCAAAAAACACTGTTGGGGCCCCCGAGAAGGTTGTACATTTTCAAAAAAGACAGTTGGGGGCCTCGAGAAGGTTTTACATTTTCAAAAAACAATTGGGACCCCCGAGAAAGTTTTACATTTTCAAAAATCACTGTTGGAGCCCTCGAGAAGGTTTTACATTTTCAAAAAAAACAGTTGCGGCCCCCGAGAAGGTTTCACATTTTCCAAAAACACAATTGGGACCCCCGAAGTTTTAAATTTTCAAAAAACATAGTTGGGGTCTCCGAGATGGTTTTACATTTTCAAAAATGACACTTGGGGCCCCCGAGGTTTTACATAAAAAAACACTGTTGGGGCCCTCGAGAAGGTTTTACATTTTCAAAAAACACAATTGGGACTTCCGAGAAGGTTTTACATTTTCAAAAAACACAGTTGAGGTCTCTGAGGTTTTAAATTTTCAAAAAACACAGTTGGGGTCTCGGAGAAGGCTTTAAATTTTCAAAAATGACAATTGGGGCCTCCGAGGTTTTGCATTAAGAAAAAAAAAAACACTGTTGGGGCCCTCGAGAAGGTTTTACATTTTCAAAAAACACAGTTGGGATCTCCGAAAAGGTTTTACATTTTCAAAAAACACAGTTGGGGTCTCCGAGAAGGTTTTACATTAAAAAAAAAAACACAATTGGGACTCCCGAGAAGGTTTAACATTTTCAAAAAACACAGTTGGGGTCCCCGAGGTTTCACATTTTCAAGAACAGAACAATTGGGACCCCCCGAGAAGGTTTCACATTCTAAAAAAAAAAAAAACATTTTACGCCCCCGAGAAGGTTTTACATTTATAAAAAAACACAATTGGGACCCTCGAGGTTTGATATTTTTAAAAGATAGTTGGGTCCCCCAAGGTTTCACATAAAAAAAAAAATTGGACGAGGGTTAATTCGACAGAACTTTCCTCGCTCCTGAAGTACAATGAAACATATCCAGCATTTTCGAGTTGAGTTTTTTCTTAATAAAATAAATTGTCTCATTCATTAATTTTTTTGAGCCACCTGTTTAAGCAATCTAAAAAATCTGTATGCAATAATGAATCACAAGAAAAACTCATCATATTTCGCATTTTGGGTAGAATTTATTCGCCAAAATTTTGAGATAACGTCATCAATTTTTTGGGGAGAATAAATAGACTTTAAAACGTCTGCAAGATTTCAAAGCATTCAGCTTTATTCAATAAAATAAATTGACTGATTCATTAATTTTTTCTCTTTGCCTTTTTATTAATATATACAGTGCGGTGGCGCAAAAAAACGACTATTTTTTTGTGTTGAGTCTCGTGTGAAAATATGTTAGTTTACCATGTTTTAAGACCCTCCTCCAAAAGAGCTCAAAAAATTTTTCAAAAGTTCCCAAATCGTCAAAAATTGATTTTTTTTTAAATTTTGTTTTTCGCGTTACGGTAATATTTTATACACCAAAAACAAATAAGTTTCCCAAATTTTTAGCTCAAAATATTAATTTTTAAAAGTCGGTCATATTTTTTTTTAATTTACAAGAGCCTCAGATGTTTTCGAGCGACTGTAAGCATTAAAATTGCATAAATTTACAATTTATTTTAAGTTCTTGTTGTGAAAAGATGACTACATATTTAAAGAAACAACGGAAAATATAAGCCCCGCCCACCCACCCGATTTCAATTGTGATGATTTTTTTTATTCATCGTCAGTCAAGTGGGCGGAGCTTAATTGCAACATCTTTCTTTTTCCTCAAGAAATTACCATGTGAAACATGTTTTATTGACATAGCAGGGGAGAAAGGATTACACACTCTTCTTTTTTTAAAAATGGTCTATTTTTAATAATATGATAATACTTAAAATATCATCATTCTTAAAAACATGTTTCAGGCGATAAATTCTTGTAGAGAAATAAGGATTTTGCAAATAAACTCCGCCCCCGAGCTCACAACGAATAACATTGTTGGTAGGCGGTGATTAAATTTTGTCTTCGTGTCTAAATACACATAATCTTCTTTCCACGACAAGATATTTAAAATTTACGCCCGCCCACCCGCCCTATCTCAATTGCGATAATTTTTTTTTATTCGCCGAGAACCAAAGGGGCGAAACTTATCTGCAAATACTTATTTCTTTACTAGAAATTAAACACATGTATATTAAGAAAAAAAGGCAACATATAAACCCCGCCCACCCACCCCATCTCAATTGTAATCATTTTTAAGCTTTATTTTTGCTCTTTTTCTCGTAATATCTACAGGTTTCTTTCAACATTATACTTAAAAAATTGGTTGAAGATTACTTCGACTGAACTTCCTTCGCCCATAAAGTACAGCTTGTCAAATCCAACTCTTTCGAAAAATTAAAACATCTGTATAATTGTAATAATGTAGTATTGTATAAGCAAAACTAAAAAATGAGGTTCTTAATTTTCTCAACAAAAAATTGATCGAAGGATATAAGAATAATCACTGTAAAGTAAAAACCAGAGGCATAAATAACACCTCATGTCCTTCAGCAGTAGGTAATAGCAATCTGAAGCTCAAGTCTTTAGACTGACAGACGCAAACGGGGACCCACGACACAAAATCATTCCGGCTTACCTCTTTCAGTCTCTTGTGGAGCAGATCTTCGCTTTCTTGCTCTCGTTTCAGTTGTTCGAGCTTTTCGATGATGATGGCGGCGTGGGCGGCCCGCTCTTCGGCGTTAACGGGCGTGTGGCCCTTCCCTTCCCAGTTCTTTCGTAGGGTGCGCGGGATGAAGGAGTGGTTCATGTTGGTCTCTTTGTTACGGGCGGCGAGCTGGCGGATTTGCTTTTCTTGGGAACGGCCCGATCTAGCGTCGCTGCTATGGACACGGCGCGAATTAACAAAAAATTGCGACTGACGCGGACGCAGGGCTCGCATGCAAGTCGTGCCGCTACTTGAGCATGCAACCATACCTTGGTTAAACGAGATGTTATGTCTCCTTCTACTTTTTCGGTACTTGTACCGAGTGTTAATTGATTAATGAGTGTCAAGATCAGAGGCGGAATCACTCGGTATTTAATTAAAAAAAATAAAATAAAAAGTGACTTTTGGTTCCGTTTCTGCTCCAGACGAGTACCCCGCCATCACCCTTTTCCCTTCCAGGGTTCGTTTTACGCAGCCCGCTGGATTCCCCGAATACTCACATATTACTCTCTTGTAGGGACATACAGTCCGGTTCGGTCCTCGCATCTGAATGACTACTAAGTGACTGCATTTCGCTATCTTGCCTGGACACCGGGTTGAACGAATTGTATGCGATGTGAACTCCGTTGCTTCGGTATATCAAACTACGCAATCACACGCAAACCAAAATTCATTTTTCAATTCAAAACAAAAAAAAAAAGACTAAAGCGTCCGAAAGCGACAAAGTGACGGCGTTTCGGTTAACACTTACCCGGCGAAAGCCTCCGACTTCGGACGAATGTCCAGAGCGCGGTGTTTCTGAGACCTTAGCAACATATCTTTGGTGAGACGAGGCGTAGGGGTGTGGTAACCCGTACTGACGCTTCCCGTTCCTGGAACAGTCGCAAAACGACAATAAAAACCAATATTTTAACGATAACGAGTAAAAGGGGCGACGATCACCTGGAGTCAGAAGCATCTGCGGCTGGGCGTGCATGCTAAATTCCAAGCCTTCGTGCAGTGTGGGTAGAGGGCCCCCGCTTGCCATGTTTCCGACGTCTTTGTTGCCTGGACTGCTGGAAGCGCTCGATTCGCTGCTGAATTCGTCACTACCGCTATTTGGATTTTCAACAGACTGCAAAAAAATCGTTATTAAGCGCCAACAAACCACCGCCCACCCACCTGTATATATTGCAGGTACACATCACTCTTAAGGAAGTTCGGATAAGTAGTTTTGCTTATTAAAGATTCGATTTGCGCCTGAGCCTCATCGAAAAGCGTGATCGGGGGTTCAAGGCACTGGGGCGATTTCAGTTTTTTCATTATTTGCTTTCTGAGTTCGTCGTCGATCGGAAGAGCATATTTCAGAAAATACCTCCTTCAAAAACAACAATGAAACGCACATCCCACCAGCTGCGCCACTTACTTGTATATACACTTCACCAGCTTCTGTATGCTGTCTTGGTCGTGGTGCTTCTTCAGCCCTTCGCACACGAACCAGAACTGGAGGGGGTTCGCGTGCTCCGGGCCTTCGCTTTCGAGGTACTTCTGAAAGAGTTTAACCCCGTCCGGGTCCTGCAGGAGGTGGTGAAGCGATTCCGCCCACGTGAAGTAGGCCGGGGTCGACGTTTGGGGTTTGTCGTGGCTCGAAGAAGGCCGCGAATTAGGCCTGTCGATTTCGTAACCTGATTCTGAAACAGGAGGTTTAGAGCGATTTGCTTTGTTTTAAGGTGGAATGGTTACTTGGAACTGGAGAGGAAGACTTCTGTAGGTGGTGCCTGGATCGGTCCATCTGGTGTGGCTGAGCCCCCCGCTGCTCTGAAGTACTGACGGCTCTCTCCTCTCCCAGTGCGGGGGGTCGGGGCAACGTGTAATCGAAAGCACCTTCATAGATGTGCTTGTTGCCACTGGACCGGGCCTTTTCTCGGTCGTTCATATTGACAGGGGCCTCCGGCACAAGCCCTCCTTCCGATTGATGATCTTGACGGCGCTCTGCGAGGGGCGTGGAGGTCTCTGCTTCATCATGGGAACTGCAACCGAAAGGAAAAAATCTTTAAAAAAACTGTGTTAAAAAAGAGGCAGTATTTTAATCGAGCGATGTTTTATGACCCCTAGAATACAAAAACGTAGGTCCCTCGTTTGCGTCTGTCAATTTTTATTAGACAGATAATCTTGAAACTACCGAACCGATTTTTGTCAAATTTTGTACGCGCATTAGGAAAGTCGTGCAGATGATAAAAACCCTGAATAAAATTTTTCTGACCATCCCCACCACCAATCCCTTGACGTCATCCCATATTTTCTATAAATTATGCTTACACAGACTGACTTAAAAATAATTATGAATGAATCAATTATTTTAATTGATCAAATATCAATTATTTTAATTGATCAAATAAGAAACTGTAAAACCGAATGCTCTGAAATCTTGGGGTTCACTTACAGAAACAAAAAAATTAATTTAGATAAGTACATAAAAAAATATATGAAAAATTAATCACTGTTGTCAGATTCATCCAAATAATTTTTAAGTTTTTCGTTATACTATGAAGTGAAAAATACTGGATTAAAGCAAAATTATTTTTAAATAATAAAAGTCCGATGGATTTCAGGTACCTAACACATTGTAGTGAATTAAAATAGGGTGAAATTTTGAAAAAAAAATAAAAATTGAAGGGCTATATCTTTTACATTTGGACAAAAAACATTTTTAAATTATTTTTTCTCTGCTTCATGAACGGTCCTGAACAACGTGTCATAGAATTGGTGCGCGATTTTTTGAACACCCTGTATATATTTATCCTCTCCAAAAAATTGTCATCTCAAAATTTTGCCGAATAAATTCTATCGAAAATGCGCAAATACTTGTGATTTATCATTCTATTCATATTTTTAGAACTGCTTATACGGGGTGATTAAAAAAAATGAATGAGTCTATTTATTTTATTGGTCAAATCAGAATCTGCAAAACCGAATGCTATGACCTCTTGCAGACTTTAGAGTTGTCGTAAGCATAGAACATTTGTGATCAAAATAAACAGGGTGTTCAAAAAATTGCGCACCAACTCAACAGCACATTATTAATTTAGCCAAGCCCGAGTTCACAAGTCGAAAAATAATTAAAAAATTCGTCAATTTGACGTTTACTTACAAACAAGATATCGATTTAGAAATATCAAAGAATACGATGGATAAATACAAAAATACCTACAAATTTGTTTTTAATATTGAAAGTCTGGTCAATTTCAGGTTCCCAACACAAAATTGTGTATTAAAATATAGTGAAATTTCAAAGAGAAATATTAAACTTTGAAGAGCTGTATAATTCTATATTTGGACAAGAGAATTGTTTTAATTATGTTTCTCTGCTCCATGAATGGTCCTGAACAACGTGTCGTAGAGTTGGTGCGCATTTTTTTAACACCCTGTATCTGTCTATCCTCTCCAAAAATTTTATTACGTCATCTCAAAATTTTGCGATAAATCCTATCGAACATGTGTCAATATATACTTATGATTTATCATTACATTCACATTTTTTAGAACTGCTTATACAAGGTGACTCAAAAAAAAAAAAAATTAATGAGTCAATTTATTTTATTGGTCAAATCAGAATCTGTAAACTGAATACTTTGAAATCTTGCAGACTTTTTAGAGTTATCGTAAGCAATAAGCGTGGTAAATTTATGATCAAAATATACAGGGTGTTCAAAAAATTGTACACCGACTCAACCGGACATTATTAATTTCGCAAGTCCAGGTTTACAGGTCGAAAAATCATTAATAAATTCGTCAATTTGACATTTACTTTCCCAAAAAAAAATATATATCGATTTGGGTAGATCAAAACACATGAAAAAATACCCACTATTATCAGATTTATCCTAAACAATTTTTAAGTCTGGTCAATTTCAGGTTCCCAACACAAAATAGCGTATTAAAATAAGATGAAATTTCAAAAAGAAATATTAAACTTTGAAGAGCTGTATAATTCTATATTTGGACAAAAGTATTATTTTAATTATTTTTCTCCGCTCCATTAACGGTCCTGAACAACGTGTCATAGGGTTGGTGCGCACTTTTCTTAACACCCTGTATCTGTCTATCCCCTCCAAAAACTTTATTGCGTTTCTCAAAATTTTCACACATAAATCCTATCGAAAATGTGTAAATCTATACTTGTAATTTATCATTCCATTAATATTTTTTAAACTGCTTATACAGGGTGACTCAAAAAAAATAAAAATAAAAAATGAATGAGTCCATTTTTTTTATTGATCAAATCAGAATCTGAAAAGTGAATACTTTGAAATCTTGCCGACTTTTTAGAGTTATCGTAAACATGGTAAATTTGTGATCAAAATATACAGGGTGTTAAAAAAATTGTGCACCAACTCAACCTCACATTATTAATTTCGCAAGTCCAAGTTCACAAGTCGAAAAATCATTAAAAAATTCCTCAATTTGACGTTCATTTACAAAAAATATCGATTTAGATAGATAAAAAAATGTGAAAAATTACCCATCTTTGGCAGATTCATCCTAAACAATTTTAAAGTCTGTTATGTTATAAAATTAAGAAATATGGTGAAATTTCGAAAAAAAAATTTAACTTTGAAGAGCTCAATAATTCTATATTTGAACAAAAGAATTTTTTTTATTATTTTTACTCTGTTCTACGAATGATCCTCAACAACGTGTCATAGAGTTGGTGCACAATTTTTGAACATCCTGTATCTGTTGATCCCCTCTAAAAGATTGATTACGTCATCTCAAAATTTTGCCGAATAAATCCTATCGAAAATGTGCAAAATTTGATGAGTTTTTACTTTTTACTTATGATTTATCATTCCATTCATATTTTTTAGAACTGCTTATACGGGGTGACTCAAAAAAATAAAATAAATGAGTCCATTTTTTTTATTGATCAAATCGGAATCTGAAAAGTGAATACTTTGAAATCTTGCAGACTTTTTAAAGTTACCGTAAGCATGGTAAATTTGTGATCAAAATATACAGGGTGTTCAAAAAATTGTGCACCAACTCAACCTCACATTATTAATTTCGCAAGTCCAAATTCACAAGCCGAAAAATAATTAAAAAATTCGTCAATTTGACGTTCATTTACAAAAAATATCGATTTAGGTAGATCAAAAAATGTGAAAAATTACCCATCTTTGGAGATTCATCCTAAACAATTTTAAAGTCTATTATAAAATGAAGAAATATGGTGAAATTTCGAAAAAAAAATTTTAACTTTGAAGAGCTCAATAATTCTATATTTGGACAAAAGAATTTTTTTTTTATTATTTTTACTCTGTTCTATGAATGATCCTCAACAACGTGTCATAGAGTTGGTGCACAATTTTTGAACATCCTGTATCTGTTCATCCCCTCTAAAAGATTGATTACGTCATCTCAAAATTTTGCCGAATAAATCCTATCGAAAATGTGCAAAATTTGATGAGTTTTTACTTATGATTTACCATTCCATTCATATTTTTTAGAACTGCTTATACGGGGTGACTCAAAAAAAAAAATGAATGAGTCCATTTTTTTTATTGATCAAATCGGAATCTGAAAAGTGAATACTTTGAAATCTTGCAGACTTTTTAAAAGTTACCGTAAGCATGGTAAATTTGTGATCAAAATATACAGGGTGTTCAAAAAATTGTGCACCAACTCAACCTCACATTATTAATTTCGCAAGTCCAAATTCACAAGCCGAAAAATAATTAAAAAAATCGTCAATTTGACGTTCATTTACAAAAAATATCGATTTAGATAGATCAAAAAAGGTGAAAAATTACCCATCTTTGGCAGATTCATCCTAAACAATTTTCAAGTCTGTTATGTTATAAAATGAAGAAATATGGTGAAATTTCGAAAAAAAAATTTTAACTTTGAAGAGCTCAATAATTCTATATTTGGACAAAAGAATTTTTTTTTATTATTTTTACTCTGTTCTATGAATGATCCGCAACAACGTGTCATAGAGTTGGTGCACAATTTTTGAACATCCTGTATCTGTTCATCCCCTCTAAAAGATTGATTACGTCATCTCAAAATTTTGCCGAAAAATCCTATCGAAAATGTGCAAAATTTGATGAGTTTTTACTTATGATTTATCATTCCATTCATATTTTTTAGAACTGCTTATACGGGGTGACTCAAAAAAAAAAAATGAATGAGTCCATTTTTTTATTGATCAAATCCGAATCTGAAAAGTGAATACTTTGAAATCTTGCAGACTTTTTAAAGTTACCGTAAGCATGGTAAATTTGTGATCAAAATATACAGGGTGTTCAAAAAAATTGTGCACCAACTCAACCTCACATTATTAATTTCGCAAGTCCAAATTCACAAGCCGAAAAATAATTAAAAAATTCGTCAATTTGACGTTCATTTACAAAAAATATCGATTTAGATAGACCAAAAAATGTGAAAAATTACCCATCTTTGGCAGATTCATCCTAAACAATTTTAAAGTCTGTTATGTTATAAAATGAAAAAATATGGTGAAATTTCGAAAAGAAAAATTAAACTGAAGAGCTATATAAATCTATATTTGGACAAAATATTTTTTTTTATTTTTTCTCTGTCCCATGAATGGTCCCGAACAACGTGTCAAAGAGTTGGTGCACAATTTTTTAAACATCCTGTATCTATTCATCCCCTCTAAATGATTGATTACGTCATCTCAAAATTTTGCCGAATAAATCCTATCGAAAATGTGCAAAATTCGATAAGTTTTTACTTGCGATTTATCATTCCATTCATATTTTTAGAACTGCTTATACAGGGTGAATAAAAAAAAAAAATGAATGAGTCAATTTGGATAAAAGAATTTTTTAATTATCTTGTTCTCTGCTCCATGAACGACCTGAATAACGTGTCACAGATTTGCTGCGCAATTTTGTGAACATCCTGTATCTGTTTATCCCCTCCAAAAAATTGATTACACCATCTCAAAATTTTGCCGAATAAATCCTATCGAAAATATGCAAAACATGGTGAGTCTAAACTTGTG